GTAGCTTTGTCCTTTTTACCAAAAATCCACATGTCGCCTTGTGATTATTTTTGGCTCCACAATGGCGATTGTATAAACATGTCCCTAAAGCTCTGTGCCAGAAAGTTGTCAGGTTTGCCAACTAAATTGAGTGGTTGGAAAGTACTTAAATTCTACACTCGTCTTTTCTTGTTTGTAAACAATCCAGGGCTATGAGTGGTCGTTTGATGGCAGTTGTCTTTCATTCTGATAGTGGCGCTCTGTCACGGGATATCTTGGGCTGGCTTGCAAGCCCAATGTCTTGATCTTCTTATCCTTTAGCGAGCTCTCTCCAACCCCATCTATTCGGCCTAAAAAAAAAAAATATATATATATATAAGAATCTTTATGTTTGTAAAAAAATTGTAAGTGGTAGATTACTTCGGTAATTAGAGTTTTTCTATTCAACCCATTATGTTTCGAGTTAACCTTCCCTATTTTCTTTAGTGTAGAATATTGTTTGTAACAAAAATTTTATTATTATTTTATTTAGAAAAATGCTTATAAAAAAATATCTTACTAGCTTGAGTCTCTGCTTGATTATAAGAGATTTTGAGTTTGACTCACCTGAAAGTAAAAATTACATATATTTGTCTTGTTTTTAATACTAAATCAAACCTTTTTGTGGTTGTTTTAGTCGACATACTGATCTAACATTATTCATTACTTAAACGAACGTACTTTTATAGTCTAATATACACTAGATATACATAATGACGCAAACGAGCATGTCACATCATGTTTTTTTTTTTTGTACATCGATATTTTTACACTAAGTGAAAGGAGAGTTTGGTTAAGCCACACAATGAGCAACTTAATTTGATATTAAATTCATCATCTACCAAATTAAAACCGTTCACTTTTAAGTAAAAATGAATATTATCATACCGTAATACTAAATGTCATCGTCGTCATATAATCTGAACTCAGCAACATGTGAGCTGCCTCCATGTACCAAAGTTAACATCTTGACTTGATAAACACACCTTGTTAGATTAAGTAAAAGTGATGATACGAAAACTCTATTAAAAAGTCTGGCATCCCAGTTTGCACGACGGTTCATTGCATCGTGCCATCGTCTGCGCTTTCACCTAATTTATTGGGAACGTGACCTTAGGCCTTTAGTGACAATTCTGGAAATTCAGTTTCACGGTTATGCGTCGCAGTCTGCAGAAAACAAACAACAATAAAAAAGAAGTCACACACTTATTTTTCGCGTTTTCGTTTTGACAGTATTATCTACGCACTCATTTTTAAGTTTCACACATCTTTTAATTTTTAATTATCGAATAGAATGATTTGCAGTGGAATAAATTATCTCTACTAATTAATAAAGCATTATTTGTCAACAAAAAGATGATAAAAAGACAAATTAATCTTCTATCACAAAAAAAAAAAAAAAGCAATAATGTTATTTCACATGTTCAAATTTTACTATTTTTTATTAAAGCTTCACCTACTAATAATGTTAAAATACCTCTAATATAAAAATTAAAAAACCAAGAAAACATAAAACATAAAACAAAAAACCTCCCACTGCCAATGTTCTCTCTCCCTCACTCCTTATTTTCTTAAAAAAAATATGTAGACAAATGCTCGTATAATCGATAAAAGCAAGTAAAAAGTATTAAATAAGTATGGATAACACCACCTCTTTCCGCATTGGGACGATGCCCTGAAATATCTGAAGCCAAAAGCTGACACGTGTACTGAGGGCAAGAGCTATGCTATATAGGGTTGATGGACCATACTTGACCAGTTGACACGTCAAGTACAGTGTACACGTACCAATGCAAGGCTGTATAAAACAAGTGGAAAATACAACGAACCCATAAAAACCCTAGTGACGGATCCTCAAAATATCCTTTTTCAAAACGGGACAAAGTTCGCATGCTACTTTGCCTAGTTGTTCGTAGTTTCATATTTTGTTTTACGATAACGTTAGAGAGATTATTTTTGTAGATAAAATTTATAAATTAAATAATGTGTTATCGATATAAATGATCACGTTTATTAACGTTTAAGTAACCTAATTATTATTTTTTATGTCATTTAGTTTACAAAATTTTATCTATAAATTTAGTTTCCTAAGCATTACCCTTTGTTTTATTATTTTTTAGGCATTTTGTCAAATATCTCAGTTACATAACAGTCACACTCAAGATCAAACATCAAAAGATAGAAAACTGCACGATTTCATGTGTAGGAATAGCCAGGATGAGACAATTGCCTAAGAAAATGTTGGTATAGGCGACTAGTATTGTCACGCAAGCTCGATTTGAGTTAGTCGTCCACGAGTGTATGACTCTTAATTGTTGATGCATTGTGAGATCAATATCCATCTTTATCCACTTATGTATGATGACTATCTTAAGTATTTGTTCATCTTAGTTTTTCGTAATTGAACTCGCTTCTCACTTATTTTCTATTAGAATTTTAACTAAAAGGAGTCAAGTGGAATAAGTACAAGATTACAACATTAATCTAATACCTTAACTCAGTGGTTGGGGACAACTTCTAGGTCCGTATTCCACATGACTTGTTCGACTCCTAACGCTGGTGAATTATACGCTGAAATGTTTCTGTGAGTTTTTTCGACTAAAAAAATATGAATTGTCATGACAAAACTACTAGCTGGTCACCTTTTAAAAATGAAACAACCTTCTTATTATCTTTAATTATGCTACAATTGATCAAGTTGGTGGTTGATAAAGATATGTGTTATCCACGTCGTGCATGACTACAAGACATGCAATATCGATGAGTTCTGCAGAATTATACGAGACATATATAGGTGTCATTTACCAAACTTTTCACTTGTAGTCAAAAGGAAAATGATGAGATTTATGAATATTTTACATAAAGAAAACAGAAGGCGGAGCTGAGATGACCTAACAAATTGGTGGTGGAGGTTTGGATTTGATGCATGATATTAATTCTTACTGCACAAATCTAAACATTTTGTTAAGCTGTCTATTCCATTTTACTGTACTTATATCTAGCGAGCCCTAGTTCATGTTGCGATGCACCACCTTAGTCACTGTCATTTCGAGATTTTTTTCGGATCTCGCAATTTGAACCTACCGTATTAAGTAATTTAAACTACTCATTTTAAATTTTACAATATTTATTTGTCAATCTCATTGACACACTTTACACAAACTAAGGGTTTAAATCTCTCTCTCTTGAATAGTCCAAATTACTCGTCTGTTAGCTCCAAACTATGAGATTTGGGCTATGAACCTATAAATGTTAATTTCAAAACAAACAAACAACAACAACAACAAAGTCTTTTCCTACTAAGTGGGGTCGGCTACATGAATACTAGAACGTCATTGCGTTTGGTTCTAATATTAGAACAAAATAATTAAAAATTTTGCCGTTTATTTTTAATCCGTGACAAGACAAATGGCCCTAGAAGATATGCTAAGGATGTCATGTATAGTGATGAACCCTACGACTTTCTACTTGTTACTGCTCAATGTGCATTGTAAATTGTATCATGATTGGAGATTGGAAAACAAAATTAGTTCCACCATAGCTTAAGGACAAGGATGCAACTTGGATGGTTGTAATCCGATTAAATATCTTCAACTTATGTTGGATTGGAGAAAGAGCATAATTTACCCATTAATTGAGCTTGAGCTCAAACTAAATTGAAGTCAGTTCACCAGAAAAACTTGCCCTATCACCGATTGTAAGATTTTGTCCGGTTCAGAGCTCGGTTGAAATATTTTAGTTTGAGATTTACTCCCAACTTGACTCCTTACGCACATAGGCGAAACTTACTTTTAAGAGCTTATGGGTAAAACTTGCCTCTAAAGTTGTGCTGAATGATGTCTTCTGCCCACGGTAGCAACATTGACCTTGTACTAATTTCCTCCTACAAATCGCCCACTTTGTGGACTTTGTCGTAGAAGTCGTTTGGAAATACTTTTAAATGCCTGAAAATATTTTTAGGGTACATGTTTTTGGAATAAATTTTTAGTAAAAATGTAAGTAAATCCTGAAAAAACACTTAAAGTGCTTCCTGGAATAAGCACTTAAAGTGTTTCTTGGAATAAGCACAAAACTGGTGCTTATTGCAAAAAGCACTCCAAGTACATTTGGAATCCAAAATCATTTTCTCTAAAAATGCTTTCAATCATTTTAAAAGCATTTCCAAAGTGAGCATTTTGTTACTAATTGTTAAAAGTCCACGGATAGAACAATACATACCCCTCCACGTCACCCAATATATGTAACGTTTTTCACGTGTGAGACTCACATAATGCCACACATTGGACACTAGGTTCAACACATGAATAATCTGCTTTGAATCTTTGATATTATATTAAAAAGTGAGCATTTGTTCAAAAATCAATTAGCAATAAGAGGAAGAGATCAATAATCATAAACACTTTTAGGCAAGACCTTCCTTTCTCGACGTGAAATTCATGCTCTCAACCAAAAAGGTATTCGAAACTTTTACACCATTCCAAGAGATTGTTATATTTTCGAACGTGAGATAATGAATCCTACCACTCACCAACATTTGCGGAAGAGATAGGCCTCACATTATGTCGTGGACTTAGCTTGAAAGGTACCCAATGTCTATCCATGGATTCCTGTCACAAATTGGGTTTGGGTGGGTTGGGTTCAGATCCTTTTCCAATCTCACAGGCCATAGCCTAGAGAAATTTGGACCGTCCAATAGATGGAGAGAGATTCGGACCCTTGATTTGTGTAAGGTAAAAGTGGGAAGGGTTAACGAGGGCCGTAGGATTTAGAATGAGTGGTTCGGATTTCTCGGTCCGTCGACTTCAAATTGCAAGATCCTTTGATTTGTGTAAGGTAGAAGTGGGAAGGGCTAACAAGGACATAGGATTTAAAATGAGTGGTTCGAATTTCTCGATCCTTCAGCTTCATATTGCGAGATCCAGAAAGGATCTCGATTCGGGTATGTTCCTATTAATTGCTATTCACTTCACTATTCAATAATGATTGGCCTTTGGAACCACACAACGGACACTTTACATTTTAAGACATTGCCCATCTGGGCCTTGTTGCCTATGATAAATTCTGTCATGGCAATAAATTAGAAACCAAAAACGACAGCGTTTAGTAATTGTGAAGATTAAGGAAACAACAGAACCTCTTCATACATAAACATCTGAAATGGCCTCTAGATCATCCACACCACTCTCATACTAGGCTGCCACTCATTGGAGTCGCATTGTGAAGATTAAGGAAACAACAGAAAACCGAAAAACCGAATCATGAGATTGCTTAAGAAAATAAATTTTAATGAGGGAGTATGGTAAACCCGACTCATTGTATTTCGCATCCTTGTGAATTGGCAGAAGCTGAAGAATACGATTCAAGAGTGTCATTAGAACCGCGTCAGTTGGTTACCTCCCAATTCACGGGTTTCATGATCGAGTATGGTTACCTCCCAATTCTCCGGCAAGTGCTCTATTTCAGACTTTGAATAGAACCCGGGTCAGTTGGCAAAATGAATCTCTATCGACACAAGTTCAGGCCACGAGCTCTGTGTCAATGGTTCGTAAGGGATATCCTTCCACTTGCGCAACGTGACTGTCCTTTGGCCTTCCATGGCTTCAACGCCTGTACTCCATTAAAAGTGCGATCTACTATCAGGTTACTAATATTGTAAGGCGTATAATGTTTATGCCACTAATCAAATATGAAACTGCATATCAAAACGAATAAACAGTTCTATGATCTAGAGAGACGGTATAGACCTTGAATAGGCCGAACTTGAGGAGTATATGAATTTTCTCAGGACATCACAAAACACCATTTCTGCCGATATATTCCTCTCTCAGATCATTCTGAAGCACTTGAAGGAATGACAATGTACAATTCTTCTTGGAATGCCTGAAGCCAACAAAAACAAGTCCATATTTGTTATGAAAATATTGCATGTGTTAAGCATGCCGCCAACATTCGTCCTGAGCCAGGATTTGAGAACTTTTTAAATTCAGAGAAACCCTGGAATTAAAAACAGGCAATCCTGAGCCCTCACCCAAACGAGTATTTTACAGAAAGCCGAAGGCTTTGGCTTCTATGGGACCAGCTGAACATGAGGGACCCCTTTCATTCTGATTTGAAAATTTTAATATAAACGGGAAGATTAAGAAAATTACCATTTTAAAGTGCGCTAACTCTTGCCTTAGTTCATCTCCAATATCCTCAGCTAGAGTCTGGACAATGCCAGGTGGATAATTTTGATCTTTTATGCTACTGCATGCCTGAAAACAATCCCAAGGTCAATGCCACAGTTAGCCAAACTCAAGAAAAGAAATTGCTTTAGTTAATCACATTAAGCAGCACTCAAGGTTTAAGTTAATCGATAAGCCATAAGATGAAATCTTTGGTATCACGTCTTATAGCCTCTGCAGTGTCTGCAGATTCTGTGGTAATGAAAAGCATACAGACAAAGCAGGTGTATGTGATAATTAAAATGCATTGCTATGTAGACGTCCATACCACTACGATATTCTCACCAGTCTAATGGTGTGCTTAACTGCAGAATCTAAGATGAAAGTTCAAAGTTCTGCTTCACACCATCAATTGAAAACCAAGGCCTTCTTTACTCATTCAGCACAAGAAGTTGTATACAAATACAAATATTGATAATTTTCTTTAAAAGAACAACACAAATACTACAGCAAAGTTAATAGTACAGGATATGTTCGACTCCTGTGTAGTTTTACAAAAACATTCTACAAATGCAAAGAAAAAAACCTCCAATTTTATTCGAAAAAAGTTCAATTGAACCGGATTGGAGATTACCATTCTAAAACCTTCTTGAGAATGCGAGATCTCCAGATGTTGGAAACCTATGAGTCAATGTTGTTGTAGTGCAGCAGATGTACAGATAATTGCACATAGAAACCTGAATTTCTTTTTGACCTGACAGAAAAGAGAAAGAACGCAAAAATAAACATAAAAGCACAAATAATTGTATATATTCAGATAAAATGCTACCTGTTCTGGAAACTCCTTGAAGGATACATGGTCAAAGTTTGGTAAGTTCTTCCTGTGGTGTTTTGCAAGTAGTGCTATCAGCTGCAGATTCACAAATTGATCATCACTGTAGAATACAGAGTATGCACCAAGACATAGCACACAAATAAACACTTGACATACCTTGACCTCCTCAGTACTATAACCATGAAGATGATTGCCCTTCTACACAAACGATTTAGCTCATCAAGATTAAGATCAATAAGTGAAATTGAAGTTTTATTTTCAATGCACAGTAAATGAATTAGGAAGAGGGAAAATCATTACCGTTATGATAGAACTAGAATGCTTATGGTAACCCTTTTTGCCGACGGAAATCCCAATATTGTGGAGCACACATGCAGCTTCAAGATATTCAAGATCCTTGGTATTGCTGTGCTTTGAAAAAAAGCTGCTGTGAGAATAAGCGGCTGTGCTGTGAGAATAAGCGGCTGTGAAATAAAGCCAGTAGAGTGTTTGGTAAACTTTTTTGTGAAAGTGCTTTTGGAAAAAAAAGCAGGATGATAGTGTGTCTTTTCATTAAAGGAGCACTGTAGCTCCGTGTGCTTTGAAAAAACTGGCTTTTTTTCAAAGCAACAAATAGCAGCTTCAGCTTTTCCTTTGATTTTCAGCTTATTCTCACAGCAGCTTCCAAAATAAGCCATTTTTTTTCAGTTTACCAAACACAAAAATGACCCTCAGCTTTTTTTCACAGTGGCTTTTTTTAAAATCACCTCAATCCCAAACGGGGCCTTAGTAAGGTGATCACATTTTCTCAAAGCTTCAAACGTTTCCTGCAAAAACATCTACTCAAAAACACTCGACGTCGCAATACAATTCTTCTCCATACCCAATATAATGAAGAATATACAATAGAATACATAAATATGCCCAACATCACACTACATTTTGACTGATCCTTAAACTAAATTTAAGTTGGTATCAAGCATCAATAAATTATCCAGAACTAGTTTCTGTCTATCTCACAAAAGTACGTTAGGAAACAAGATATTCAATTCAATTTGAATATACCTTTGCAATATCAACACACTATGCAGCAGCTCTCATCCTCTTCTTGCCATTAAACCTCATTGTAAGCCGCATGACAGACGACCATTTTCAATTGGCATTCAAATCATAACCCTCACTACCCTTTGCCAAACTCTCTGCAACAACCCCTTCTGCCAATGCATAACGAGAAACCTCCCATCTCCTCAATTCCAAGCACCTCAAATATCCCCTCCAACAGCACTTCCCCTGCAACCATAAACTCCGACCACCCTTTATAAAACTTCCCCTTCCTAACCCTCTCCCCCTCTCCTCCGCCGCACAAACTCCCCACAACACCCTTCACCTCTCCTCTGCTCAGCTTCCAATCCCTCTTGCCATCCCCAAAAGAAACCAAATTGCCCACCTACAGCAAATTGCTCACATTGCTATATCCGAAAAGGACCGCCTTCTCAACAGCCTTGATCGTACCGGAAGACCCCCACAACGACTTCAAAGCCGCAAGATCGAATCTTTTCAACCAACCCAGATTCCTGAATCACCAACCTGATCTGGTCCCTCATAATTTCAGCATTCCCTTCACTGGCCCCAAACTTTTGGGTTAAATTAACATGCCCCAGCTTCAACGAAGACCCCAAAACGACATTCCTTCCTTTCCAATCACGAACTCAGTAGACCCACCTTCGATATCCACACCCAGCACCAATTTCTCATATATCGGCAAAAACTGCACCATACCCAGATAAACCAGCCGAGCTTCCTCCTCACCGGGCAGCACATCGACCTCCAAACCCACCTCCTCCCTCACGCATTCCAAGAACTCAGCTTTGTTCACGGCTTCGCGCACGGCAGCGGTCGCGACGCAGCGGACATGGGGTTTGCTGGTTTTGTAGGATTTCAGGATTTTCTGAAACTTTTTGAGGGATTCGAGAGCAAGGAGGTGGGAGTGGTGCGAGAGGGCAAAAGGGGTTGGTGTTGATGACGATGAGATGGTGTCGCGGCCGAGAACCACCGGCTCTTTGAATTGGTCGATGGTGAAGAATTTGGGTATGCTCGGACTATGAGCAGCTTGAAGGAGTTGGTGCCCATGTCAATGGCTGCCAAGAGGGTTGAAAGGGTCGCTGCGTCCGGCGTAGGAGAGGCCATTGCTGTTGGTAGCAATTGGTATCTGGGTTTTCAATTTGGTGGGAAAATTTGTACAGGTACGAACTGAGAAAAGCTTCTTCCTTTTTTGTTTGTTTTGGTTTTAAACTCTATTTTTATGAAGCTCTCTTTTTGAAGTAATATTGAGACTAAATTGTAGCTGGTTTTTAGTTTTAACTTGATCGAAGCAATAGTTCTTTAACTAAAAATTCATTATCATTAGTCCATCAACTAATCAAAATGTGCAGTTATGGTCCTTCAACTAAAAATCAATTACCATTGGTCCCTCAACTTTAACTCAACTGGAGAAATACTCCCTTAACTTTAACTCAATTATAGCAATGGTCATTCTAACATAACTCGTTTTGACAAAAATTTTGACGTAGTTGATGAAAATGATCATAATTACACACTTTGATGAGTTGAGGGACCCTAATTGTATAAATGATCATTCCAATATAATTTATTTTGACAAAATTTTGATGAAATTGATGAAAATTACTATAGCTACACATTTTGATAAGTTGAGGGTTTTAGTTGAGGAATCATTGCTCCAATTTGATTAAAGTTGAGGGACTATTGCTAAAATTTACTCTAATATTGAAGCTAGTGAATTTTTATTTTCTTCATGATTTGATATGTCTTCTAAGTTTTGGCTAACAACATCTGATTAATTTTGATAATTAAATGTTAAACCACAAAATAATCTTTAAGCTCGTTTCAAAGTGTTTTTCTGACTCGTTTAGAAGTACTTTTAAAATGAAGGAAATTGCTTTTAGTGAAAATGTTTTTGGGTTCTAAAAACACTTAAAGTGCTTCCTGCACGAAACACATAACTGATGTTACAAGAAACACTTTTAAGTTTGAAGTGATTTTTTGAGGATCGCTTGCATTTTTGTTCAGGCTTGGTTTTAAAAATATTTTTAAATGATTTCAATTATTTTAAAAGTACTTCCAAACAAGCTTTTAAAATGATTAAAAGAGCTTTTTAGTGAAAATATTTTTAGAATCAATCCTTACTAAAAATGAAAGTGAATCTTGAAATAGCACGTGATCATGTGCCTTATGAATTCAAAAACATTTCCTCTAAAAACGTTTTTAGTCATTTTAAAAATACTTCTAAACAAACATTTTTTAAAATTTGATTTATTTTGTGACAAACAATAACTACATTACTATAGTCTACTATGATGATAAAGAAAATTTGAATTTTAGTATAAAAATGCGCATATTGCTCTGACTAACTTGTTATATTTGATTTTTCTTTTAGAATATTTTTTTTATATCATATTCTTTTAGAATATTTAAGTTTGTTAATAATAAATTTGATTATTCAACAGTATCAAATCAGTAACATAACTTCTTGTGATTAGGAGCATTAAAAAAGTGGATTAAAAAGTGGTTAGTCAAAATTGATGCTTTGCTTGCATCAGAACTCAGAACAGTACATAAAAAAGTCTTCCTGGGTCCGGGGACAACTTGGGAAAAGGTAAGGCCATCTCCAACCGATGGCTGGTCAGAGGGTTCGTTTTAGTCTTATGGGCTTCCAAGATATTAATATTTTAATGAACAGTACAGGGCCATATTTGCATTCGTCTCTAACCGAGGGCCAGAAGGCCAGATGGCTCATTTTAGCCCTGTCACAAAAAACCGTCTCAAACTGAGGGCCAAAGGGTCATAGGGCCAAACATAGTTTATTATTTAAAAACTACAACTTAAATTCAATTCCAACAGCTAAGTGATGTCAGCTAGCCGTTGGATTTGAATTTGTTTTTGCTATAAAATAGGGTGGATATTGGGATATAATTCACACAACTTTGAATTCAATCTATTTCAATTCAATCTCTTTCAATTCAAGTTTGCAATGAATTCCAACTTTGGATCCTCTTTAGATTCCAACTGGGGGTCCTCGTCCAATTCCAAAAATAAAAGCAAAATGGGCGCAAATGAGACGAAAAGATGATGAATCTGATGAAGAAGTTTAAGTAAGGCGCAACAAACAAAATAGAGCAGCAACCATGGTGTGTCAACCAACTGAGAAACAACCTCAATGGGGTGGCTCTGTTGTTGGTCGTTCTTACAAACCACGAAATAGAGCAATGACGCATGCCAATCTGATGAACAACTACTTTAACCCCAACTCGGTGTACACAGAAGAGGATTTCAGACGTCGCTTCTTGATGAGGCGTCATGTCTTTAGACGTTTACTTTGTGATGTTCAGCAGGTCAATCCGTACTTTGGACATAAGCGGGACAGAGGAGGTCGCCCTAGTTTATCACCTCATCAGAAGGTTACTATTGCACTCCGAATGATGGCCTATGACTCCCTAACTGATTCGATGGATGAAACACATGGTATGTATGAGTCTACATGTCTTGATACTCTTGAACAATTTTGCGAAACAATAGGATCTTGTTGCACATCTTTGGGCCAAAAGAAGCATGGAGTAGACATTTAAGTTTTATGTTGTTAAATGTTTTTAAAAATGTTGTTTAAGTTTCATGTTGTTAAATGTTTTTTTATGTTGTATAACTTGTATGTTGGTTAATGTTATTTAATGTTGTTTCATATTGTTTAATGTTATTTCATGTTACTTAATTTAATTTAATGTTGTATAATGACTTAGGAAGTTATAGGAAAAAAATATAATTTAAAAAAAATATGAAACAAATTTTGTGAAATAGAAGTTATAGGAAAAAAAAAAGAATTTAAAATAAAATGAAACAAATTTTGTGAAATAGAAGTTATAGGAAAAATGAAAGTTTAAAAAAAATATGAAACAAATTTTGTAAAATAAAAGTTATAGGAAAAAATAGAAGTTATATAAAAAAAATAATAAAACTGTAAAAAAAAAAAAAATTCAAATGCAACGGCTAGTCAGCTTTTTCTTAAGAATTCCTGTCGGTTATAACTAACAGAAATACATTTATATTATAACCAACATGAAATCCGACACATTTAAAAAAAAATTCTGGCCAGCCCGGGGCTGGCTGGCTAGAGGTGGCCAGCCCTCTAGCCCGTTGGCCCTTTCCGATTCCGTGGGATCCTCTCAGATTCCACATCCCTCTGGCCTAGCTCTCGGTTAAAGACGATTTTCGGGCTATTTTCGACCCTTTGGCCCTCAAGACCATTCGGTTGGAGATGACCTAAGTCTTCGGCTCTAGCTTCACATGCAATCCCAGAACTTTCCTGGAAAACCAGATTCCCGGAAAGTTTCGCAGAACCTGCATCATGCAAACTCCAACCACCAAATCAATCAAGTGAACAACCTTTCAAGCCTCGGTCAACACTCTCACTTAAAGACTCAGTTTTTTTAATCTTTTTTGCTTCTCTTTTCTGCTTTCTGCTCGCAATAAAAATCTACCCTTTACATGTGGACAGACAAAGATTGTGACATACCGAAGTTAGTGGAAGCTGTATGCGGATAATTATGATTTCAAGTTGTAAGATATGGTTTCGATAAGTTGTCAATAACACTGACAAATATTTGAATATCGTGACGTGATAACATGTTATCGATGCATCATCGTAATTTTAATTAGCTGGTTTTGCATTGAAGTTGACATGAAATTTCAGGTCAAATTCTGGGAAATGGGGTTCTGCTTAAAGTGCCACATCTTGCTTCCATCACTATTAAGAATGATAAACAAACGCGTACTTATGGAAAATTTGTAATTTTCTGCAACTTCGAGCAACCTTCATATCATCGAATAGTACTCTAAACACGCTTTGTTCTTTGTTTTGTCTCTATCCACGTGGTCTCGCTCTCTCACCCTCTCGAGAAATACTGTGATTTTTTTAGTACTTTTCAATCAGGACGCGTTTGATTAGTCATCTATCTGAAATTCCAATGCCTGAGAATCCTGAAAATATTTGTTCTTTTCTCTCTTTCCTTAAAAAAATGAGACAAAAAAAACGCAGACAGTCATCGATCAAACCAAACATAAAAGTCGAGCAACTTTGGTGCTACCTAAAGTAATAATATCTTAATACAAATCTTGGGTTCTTGCTAGTTTAGAGCGTGAGTTAAGTAAGAGCAGCTCCAGCGGGAGCTCGTGCTCGAGGGACAGGCTGCGGAACAGGGCTTGATTGCCCGAGGGAGGAAGCCGAATGTTGGCTGGCGAGCGAGCCCGAGCAGTCCCGAGAGAGGCCTGTGGATTCGTACCGGCCCGAACACCCGTTTTTCAGTTGGATTGGATTTGAAAATTTGGGTTTTTGATTTTGATATGCAAAAAGCAAGAGATCGAAGAAGAAAGATAAACAAGCGCAGATTTTATTTGATTTGGGATATTAAAATATCTGCACCTGCTATTAATGGGAAGGTGATGGAGGGATGATATATAGTGGTCACCGATATTGATACACGACACCGACAGGCATATACGCGTGAACGCGTTAATCGTTATTTTTTTCTTATTTTATAAATAAAAAAAAGTTAATATTCTGTTTAGGACGGAGATGAAAAGACAATTACTGATTATGATTAAGTAAAGTATTATTTACTGATGGATTAAATAGTGAATACGCTGGGACCTTTCCACGGTGGAACTGCTCGAATCTTTGCCTGACCTTCAAGGTTTGGCGTGTTTATGGTCTGTACGAAGAACCTTCTGCAATCAAAAGGTCAATCCAAGATTGTATATTTAGATACAAATCTTGGGTTCTTGCTAGCTGCTGTTCGAAATCTTGTGTACTTTTCAGATACTAAACTATATTAAAATAGCTGCTAGCTGCTAGCTGCTGTTTTCGGGCGGGTTTTTGATGGTGCTCAAGAGGCATTTTCGTGACGACGAGGGAAGCGAGGACGTCGAGTTTCCGGTTCCAGAATCCAAAAGGAGGCCTAATTTTAGGGAGTGGGTGGTTTAGTTTGAGTGAAAGTTTGGTGCTTTTTGGTTGATTGAATTCGTATTTTTGACTTCTGGGTTTTTGTGATGCTTGTTGTGCAGTGTTGTTAGGGATGTGATGAGAGACGCCACGCTGAATGAACGCGAGTCGGAACGCTTTCGGAGAATTGTAAGTTCAAATCTCCGTTCTTGTCTACACGAATGAATCTGAGCTCAAGCTTGAGGCTTAAGAAATCATTCCGTCGTAGTTTTCGTGTATAATTCGGCAGTAACATAGAAGTTTAAGGTTTGATTTTGCTTTGTTTCCTCGATTTTAATGGCTTCGAATAAGAAGACGGGTTGAGTAGCTGCTAACATGTTTGACTGTTTAAATGCTGTTTTTTAACATTTAGAACTTGAATTTGTTCGAAATCTTTTCCTGGTGAGGTCTCTTGAGTTCATTGTTGATGTATCTTTGTCGCGTGTAGGTGCGAGAGGAGGTGGAGCGCGGTATTCTTCCCTTCCTCATGTCATCTCCAAGGTTAGCTTTTCGATCAAATGTTTGTTTTCTATAAAATAACGAAGGTCTTATAATTTTTTCTTAATCACAAAGCTTCCAATTGCTGATATAATCTACATGATAAACACGCAGTGTATCCAGGCCGCCGCTGGAAAGTGGGAGTGCTTCTGGAGGATGTGGCTTGCAGTTGCGTTTTATCAACAAGCTGCCAAGTACCATATTCACAGGCAGTAAGGTGGAAGCAGAGAATGGCACGCCTCTTCAAATTGAACTAGTCGATGCCAGTACCGGTGCTATAGTCCGTTCCGGTCCCCTATCTTCGCTAAAGATTGAACTTCTTGTCGTGAATGGTGAGTTCGGGTCTGATGATCAAGAGGATTGGACCGAACAAGAATTCAACAACTACATTGTTCGCGCAAGGGATGGCAGGAGGCCATTAGTGACGGGCGAGACACATGTTACACTAAGAGAGGGAGTTGGTTTTGTTGGTGATGTTGTGTTTACTGACAACTCAAGCTGGACAAGAAGCCGAAAGTTCAGACTAGCAGCTCGAGTTGTGGCCAAATCTCCGAGTGAAGTACGAATTAGAGAAGCTAGAAGTGAACCGTTTGTGGTTAAAGATCACCGTGGAGAATGTAAAGGTCGTATCAAGTGCACAAGACTCCCGCTTTACGCAGGGTCTAGGAGAGGTGAATGTCGGCTAGCCTTACCCCCATTTAAGTTCACAAAAACTTAACTCTCCACTCTTTGATCTTTACTAAAATATAGACAATTTTGGCATTGAACTAAACGAAACTGACCTAGAAAATGTTGATTCAGTGTATAAGAAGCACTACCCTCCACACCTAAACGATGAAATATGGCGCCTGGAAATGATAGCAAAAGACGGAGCCTTCCATAAGAGTCTGTGCGAGAATGGAATCAGCACAGTGGAGGACTTCCTGCAGTTGTACATGAGAGATGCATCCTTGCTACGAAATGTAAGAGAATCATTTGTTCTCCTGCGCAGTGTGCCTACTGTAGTTTATGCCCGTCGTTTAATCTATATCTAATTTCTGCTGCGAAAATGTAGGCTTTCGGTGTGATCTCGAACAAGATATGGGAAACAATCATAAAGCATGCTATGGCCTGTAAGTTGGATGACCATAAGCGCTATGCCTATCATCGAGCTGAGCACGATGTAAGTCTCATGTTCAATTCCGTTCACAGGCTTGTAGGGGCAATAATCAATGGCCAGTTCTGTTCTCTGGATGAACTCGACGCGCATCAGAAGGTACGCCTACCATGTATTTTCGAGCTCCTTTGCATTTTCTAATCTCCCACGCGCATTATTGATCTGCCTTCATTTTTCGGTTGCTATAAGTTGGTTCCGAAGACAAAGAATTGTTGCATGATTGATGGAGCAAACTTTAAAATATTCCTTGGGGGTAAAGAAACTGATGAGCTCCCTGGTTATGTTTGCAGATGCTGGTGGAAACTCTGAAACAGCATGCTTATCGAAATGTAAGAGATTTGGTCCCCATCGATGTTTCGACTATATTTGGCCTTTCGAGGCCCTTGCCATGTCCCCAAGCTGAACAATTCAAAAATCAATTAGCAATAAGAGGGAGAGACCCCACGCTGAATGAACGCGAGTCGGAACGCTTCTTTCGGAGAATTGTAAGTTCAAATCTCCGTTCTTGTCTACACGAATGAATCTGAGCTCAAGCTTGAGGCTTAAGAAATCATTCCGTCGTAGTTTTCGTGTATAATTCTGCAGAAACATAGACTTTTAAAGTTTGATTTTCCTTTGTTTCCTCGATTTTAATGACTTCGATTAAGAAGACGGGTTGAGTAGCTGCTAACATGAAAACTAGGATTGACTGTTAGGTTTGGTTTCATTAGCCCTCTTGTAATAGAAAACAAGAACACATGTTTGACTGTTTAAACGCTGTTTTTTAACATTTAGAACTTGAATTTGTTCGAAATCTTTTCCTGGTGAGGTCTCTTGAGTTCATTGTTCATGTATCTTTGTCGCGTGTAGATGCGAGAGGAGGTGGAGCGCGGTATTCTTCCCTTCCTCATGTCATCTCCAAGGTTAGCTTTTCGATCAAATGTTTGTTTTCTATAAAATAACGAAGGTCTTATAATTTTTTCTTAGTCACAAAGCTTCCAGTTGCTGATATAATCTACATAAAAAACACGCAGCGTATCCAGGCCGCCGCTGGAAAGTGGGAGTGCTTCTGGAGGATGTGGCTTGCAGTTGCGTTTTATCAACAAGCTGCCAAGTACCATATTCACAGGCAGTAAGGTGGAAGCAGAGAATGGCACGCCTCTTCAAATTGAACTTGTCGATGCCAGTACTGGTGCTATAGTCCGTTCCGGTCCCCTATCTTCGCTAAAGATTGAACTTCTTGTCGTGAATGGTGAGTTCGGGTCTGATGATCAAGATGATTGGACCGAACGAGAATTCAGCACCTACATTGTTCGCGCAAGGGATGGCAACATGCCATCAGTGACGGGTGAGATACATGTTACACTAAGAGAGGGAGTTGGTTTTGTCGGTGATGTTGTGTTTACTGACAACTCGGGCTGGATAAGAAGCCAAACGTTCAGACTAGCAGCTCGAGTTGTGGCCAAATCTTCGAGTGAAGTACGAATTAGAGAAGCTAGAAGTGAACCGTTTGTGGTTGGAGAATGTAAGTTCACAAAAACTTAACTCACTACTCTTTGATCTTTACTAAAATATAGACAATTTTGGCATTGAACTAAACGAAACTGACCTAGAAAATGTTGATTCAGTTTATAAGAAGCACTATCTACACCTAAACGATGAAATATGGTGCCTGCAAAAGATAGCAAAAGACGGAGCCTTCCATAAGAGACTCTGCGAGAATGGAATCAGCACAGTCGAGGACTTCCTGCAGTTGTACATGAGAGATGCATCCTTGCTACGAAATGTAAGAGAATCATTTGTTCTGCTACGCAGTGTGCCTACGGTAGTTTATGCCCGTCGTTTAATCTATATCTATCTAATTTTCTGCTGCGAAAATGTAGGCTTTCGGTGTGATCTCGAACAAGTTATGGGAAACAATCATAGAGCATGCTATGACCTGTAAGTTGGATGACCATAGGTTCTATGCCTTCCATGGAGCTGAGGGGGATGTAAGTCTCATTTTCAATTCCATCCACAGGCTTGTAGCGGCAATAATCAATGGCCAGTTCTGTTTTCTGCATGAACTCCACGTGCATCAGATGGTACGCGTATTATGCATTTTCAAACTCCTTTGCATTTTCTAATCTCCCACGCGTATTCTTGATCTGCCTTCATTTTTCGGTTGCTATAACTTGGTTCCGAAGACAAAGAACTGTTGCATGATTGATGGAGCAAACTTTAAAATATTCCTTGGGGGTAAAGAAACTGATGAGCTCCCTGGTTATGTTTGCAGATGCTGGTGGAAACTGTGAAGCAGCATGCTTATCAAAATGTAAAAGATTTGATCCCTGTCGATGCTTCGACTATATTTGGCCTTTCGAGGCCCTTGCCATGTCCACAAACTGAGCAATTCACCAGTCCAAACCCTGATCTGCAACAAATTCAATTTCAGTTCACACATCAAGGTAAATGTTACTTTGTGTATAAGGTATAATACGCTGACAAATCTAAAGTCCCACATCGGAAACCTGATAAAATAAAATGCAGCTTAGGGATAGTATCGTCGTTGATTAGTAGTATGTGTTGGTCCGTCTCTCTAAAATCTTAACATTATGGCATGTTCTGCCTTACGTATGCTTTTCCAAGTAACTAAAAACCAAGTAATTTTTCACAGATGAACTCCCAATACAACTAGGTTTCAACCACGGATCAGCTTCAACCTCATCTGCCTACCAAGCAGCAGGAAGCAGCAATCAGTTAATGGTTTCTCTAGCACAAAGCCAACCAATGCAACTCCGAAGCAACAGCTTTTCGGTGGGGGACTCTAACTCCGTCATCTACAGTGGAGAAAGCAGTTCGCCGCCTTTCGGTGGTTTCCAAGCGCCAATTCTCCCAACCGGTCATTTAGGGACAGAAAACCTTTTCCAGGTCGAAGCATCAACTTTGTCTCCTGCAAACCCAATATGGGGACAAGCAGGCGACTTCTACTTCACTTCAGGTAGCGAAGCAGAAGCTAGACGGAAAGCCAAGGCATGCTGGTGCAAGCTTCGTGCCGCCGTTAAGTGGATGTCGGTTAGGAGGCATATGACTGCAAGGCCTTCTACGTATCTGAACTTTTTATAAGAAATGTAGTTTCATCTTCCCTGTTTTAGTTTGCTAATTACTATTTACTAGCTGTAGAAAGCAAGCAATTACCTAGAGGTAAAAGGGGTAAAAATATCTCCTAGTCCTAGATGTGCTAAGCTTAGTAGCTCATAGGTTTTACTTTTCTGCAGTTAATTGATCATATTGTACATAGTGTCAAACTGATCTATGTAAAATTCGGTTTTTGAAAAGAAATACAGAATAAAAATTACTGCTCTATGTATTTTACTTAGCTGTCACTTTCACCGCAAGGAACTGCGTAAATTTTTATGATCATCGTAAATCTATTTGGTCATAACAGCATAACGTGGTGTGTACTAGTATGTTAAAGGAAACAGGGCGATACTAATTTAAGATTCTAACTAAATAAGTATGAAAGTGAAGCGTGAAACGTACAATACGTTGATCAAACTAATGAGACTTTTGTTTGTTACGCATTTTTATTAGCAATATTTTTTTTGTCGAGCATCGTAAAAAACGCTTTTGATCATTTGAAAGTAAATATGGGGCCAACTCCGTATTCAAATAGGCCTAAGAATCCCACAATTGAGAACCCGACATACCTGGACCTTCAGACAAAGCCCAATGGCAGAGAGCCGTAATTCAAGTTAACTTCAGACCCTTTTCTGAATATTACAAAGAAAATATCTAGCCGCCCGGCGGACGGAGTCAGTTTTCGTGCACACGAAATGAAATTCTCGAACCTTCCCCCTCCGTACTGTAACCAGCCGAGCTGCCTCCTCACCGGGCAGCACATCGACCTCCAAACCCACCTCCGCCCTCACGCATTCCAAGAACTCAGCTTTGTTCACGGCTTCGCGCACGGCAGCGGTCGCGACGCAGCGGACATGGGGTTTGCTGGTTTTGTAGGATTTCAGGATTTTCTGAAACTTTTTGAGGGATTCGAGAGCAAGGAGGTGGGAGTGGTGCGAGAGGGCAAAAGGGGTTGGTGTTGATGACGATGAGATGGTGTCGCGGCCGAGAACCACCGGCTCTTTGAATTGGTCGATGGTGAAGAATTTGGGTATGCTCGGACTATGAGCAGCTTGAAGGAGTTGGTGCCCATGTCAATGGCTGCCAAGAGGGTTGAAAGGGTCTCTGCGTCCGGCGTAGGGGAGGCCATTGCTGTTGGTAGCAATTGGTATCTGGGTTTTCAATTTGGTGGGAAAATTTGTACAGGTACGAACTGAGAAAAGCTTCTTCCTTTTTTGTTTGTATTGGTTTTAAACTATTTTTCTGAAGCTCTTTTTTTGAAGTAATATTGAAGCTAGTGGATTTTTATTTTCTTCATGATTTGATATGTCTTCTGAGTTTTGGCTAACAACATTTGATTAATTTTGATAATTAAATGTTAAACAACAAAATAATCTTTAAGCTCGTTTCAAAGTGCTTTTATGACTCGTTTAGAATTATTTTTAAAATAATTGAAAATGTTTTTAGCAAAAATGTTTTTAGATTTTAAAAACACTTAAAGTGTTTCGTACATGAAACACATAACTGATGTTACAGAAAACACTTTTAAGTTTTAAGTGATTTTTTTAAGGTTTCACTTGTATTTTTATTCAGCATTGATTTTAAAAATATTTTTAAACGATTTTAGTTATTTTAAAAGCAAAAACAAGTTTTTAAAATGATTAAAAGAATGTTTAATGAAAATATTTTTAAAATCAATTCTTACTATGAAAGTAAATCTTGAAACAACATATGATCACTTCAAGAAGTGATCACGTGCCTTATGAATTCAAAAACATTTCATCTAAAAACGTATGTAGTCATTTTAAAAGTACCTCTAAATAAACGTTTTTTTATACTTGATTTGTTCTGTGACAAACAATAATTACATTACTATAGTCTACTATGATGATAAAGAACATTTGAATTTTAGTGTAAAGCTACGCATTGCTCAAACTAACTCGTTATATTTGTTTTTACATTTTTATATTATCTTTCTTTTAGAATATTTTTTTTATATCATATTCTTTTAGAATTTTAAGTCAAATCAGTAACATAACTTCTTGTGATTAGGAGCATTAACAAAGTGGATTAAAAAGTGGTTAGTCAAAATTGATGCCTTGCTTGCATCAGAACTCAGAACAGTACATAAAAAAGTCTCCCTGGGTCCGGGGACGACTTGGGGAAAGGTAAGTCTCCGGCTCCAGTTCCACATACATTCCCTTCCACATACATTCCCAGAACTTTCCCGGAAAACCAGATTCCCGGAAAGTTTCGCAGAACCTGCATCATGCAAACTCCACCAACCACCAAATCAATCAAGTGAACTACCTTTCAAGCCTCAACAGTCTCACTCAAAGACTCAGGTTTTTTAATCTTTTGCTTCTCTTTTCTGCTTTCTGCTCGCAATAAAAATCAACCCTTTACATGTGGACAGATAAAGATTGTGACATACTGAAGTTAGTGGAAGCTGCATGCGGATAATTATGATTTCAAGTTGTTAGATATGGTTTCGATAAGTCGTTAATAACATTGACCAAATATTTGAATAACGTGACGTGTTGACATGATAACATTGACAAATATTTGAATAACATGACGTGTTGACATGTTATCGATGTATCATCGTAATTTTAATTAGCTGGTTTTGCATCGAAGTTGACATGAAATTTCAGGTCAAATTCCGGGAAATGGGGTTCTGCTTAAAGTGCCACATCTTGCTTCCATCACTATTAAGAATGATAAACAACGCGTACTTATGGAAAATTTGTAATTTTCTGCAACTTCTAGCAACCTTCATATCATCGAATAGTACTCTAAACACGCTTTGTTCTTTGTTTTGTCTCTATTCACGTGGAATCGCTCTCTCACCCTCTCGATAAATTTTTCAATGTAACCAGAATAGGATCTAGAACATCATATGTCATAATACAAGTGGAGGTGTGAGAATGTGAGGACAAAGTCCCATGTCGGTGAGGGACCAGACCATTCAAGAGTTTATAAGAAATTGGGTTACTCCCCATGTTGCAAATTATTTTTATGTTAAAACCTCAATTTTCTTCGTAATATCAAAGTAGGTTGAGCCACGTGTGAAGTTCAATGGCTACACGTACACGTGCTCCACATCCCTGTTTCCCCCAACTTTCTTTAGGAGGGACACTTAAAAATGAAAACAAATTTTCTCTGAGGTGTACCGGGTCGTGTTTCGCGAACACGGAAAAATCTCTCCTCTCACTAAATCCGGTCACACACAAACTTTCTCTCACTAAACTTTCTCCTTCCTGGATCTCTTGGAATATACTGCGATTTTTTTAGTACTTTTCAATCAGGACGCGTTTGATTAGTCATCTATCTGAAATTCCAATGCTTGAGAATCCTGAAAATATTTGTTCTTTTCTCTCTTTCCTAAAAAAATGAGACAAAAAAACGCAGACAGTCATCGATCAAACCAAACATAAAAGTCGATGCAACTTTGGTGCTACCTAAAATTAATAATATCTTAATACAAATCTTGGGTTCTTGTTAGTTTAGAGCGTGAGCTAATCTTTGCTTGACTTTCAAGGTTTGGCGTGTTTATGGTCTGTACGAAGAACCTTCCTCGTACCTTCTGTAATCAAAAGGTCAATCCAAGATTGTATATTTAAGGACACAGAAGCTAGCTGCTGTTCGAAATCTTGTGTATTTTTCAGGTACTAAACTAAATTAAACTAGCTGCTAGCTGCTGTTTTCGGGAGGGTTTTTGATGGTCCCCAAAAGGCATTTTCGCGACGACGAGGGAAGCGAGGACTTCAAGTTTCCGGTTCCAGAATCCAAAAGGAGGCCTACTTTTAGGAAGTGGGTGGTTTAGCCTGAGTGAAAGTTTGGTGCTTTTTGGTTGATTGAATTCGTTTTTTTTGACTTTTGTGATGCTTGTTGTGCAGTGTTGTTAGGGATGTGATGAGAGACGCCACGCTGAATGAACGCGAGTGGGAACGCTTCTTTCGGGGAATTGTAAGTTCAAATCTCCGTTCTTGTCTACACGAATGAATCTGAGCTCAACTTGAGGCTTAAGAAATCATTCCGTCTTAGTTTTCGTGTATAATTCTGCCGTAACATAGAGGTTTAAACTTTGACTTTGCTTTGTTTCCTCGATTAAGAAGACTGGTTGAGTAGCTGCTAACATGAAAACTTGGATTGACTGTTAGGTTTGGTTTGATTAGCCCTCTTGTAATAGAAAACAAGAACACATGTTTGACTGTTTAAACGCTGTTTTTTCACATTTAGAACTTGAATTTGTTCGAAATCTTTTCCTGGTGAGGTCTCTTGAGTTCATTGTTCATGTATCTTTGTCGCGTGTAGGTGCGAGAGGAGGTGGAGCGCGGTATTCTTCCCTTCCTCATGTCATCTCCAAGGTTAGCTTTTAAATCAAATGTTTGTCTTCTATAAAATAACGAAGGTCTTATAATTTTTTCTTAAGTCACAAAGCTTCCAATTGCTGATATAATCTACATGATAAACACGCAGCGTATCCAGGCCGCCGCTGGAAAGTGGGAGTACTTCTGGAGGATGTGGCTTGCAGTTGCGTTTTATCAACAAGCTGCTAAGTACCATATTCACAGGCAGTAAGGTGGGAGCAGAGAACGGTGCGCCTCTTCAAATTGAACTAGTCGATGCCAGTACTGGTACTATAGTCCGTTCCGGTCCCCTATCTTCGCTAAAGATTGAACTTCTTGTCGTGAATGGTGAGTTCGGGTCTGATGATCAAGAGGATTGGACCGAACGAGAATTCAACAACTACATTGTTCGTGCAAGGGATGGCAGGAGGCCATTGGTGACGGGTGAGATACAAGTTACACTAAGAGAGGGAGTTGGTCTTGTTGGTGATGTTGTGTTTACTGACAACTCGAGCTGGATAAGAAGCCGAACGTTCAGACTAGCAGCTCGAGTTGTGGCCAAATCTTCGAGTGAAGTACGAATTAGAGAAGCTAGAAGTGAACCGTTTGTGGTTAAAGATCACCGTGGAGAATGTAAGTTCAAGAAAACTTAACTCACTACTCTTTGATCTTTACTAAAATATAGACAATTTTGGCATTGAACTAAATGAAACTGACATACAAAATGTTGATTCAGTGTATAAGAAGCACTACCCTCCACACCTAACCGACGAAATATGGCGCCTGGAAAAGATAGCGAAAGACGGAGCCTTCCATAAGAGACTCTGCGAGAATGGAATCAGCACAGTGGAGGACTTCCTGCGGTTGTACATGAGAGATGCATCCTCGCTACGAAATGTAAGAGAATCATTTGTTCTGCTGCGCAGTGCCTACCGTAGTTTATGCCCGTAGTTTAATCTATATCTGTCTAATTTTCTGCTGCGAAAATGTAGGCTTTCGGTGGGATCTCAAACAAGATATGGGAAACAATCCTAGAGCATGCTATGACCTGTAAGTTGGATGACCATAAGTATTATGCCTTCCATAGAGCTGAGGAGGGTGTAAGTCTCATTTTCAATTCCATCCACAGGCTTTTAGGGGCAATAATCAATGGCCAGTTCTGTTCTCTGGATGAACTCGACGTGCATCAGAAGGTAAGCGTGCTATGCATTTTCGAGCTCCTTTGCATTTTCTAATCTCGCACGCGTATTCTTGATCTGCCTTCATTTTTCGGTTGCTATAAGTTGGTTCAGAAGACAAAGAATTGTTGCATGATTGATGGAGCAAACTTTAAAATAATCCTTGGGGGTAAAGAAACTGATGAGCTCCCTGGTTATGTTTGCAGATGCTGGTGGAAACTCTGAAGCAGCATGCTTATCAAGATGTAAGAGATTTGGTCCCTGTCGATGCTTCGACTATATTTGGCCTTTCGAGGCCCTTGCCATGTCCACAACCTGAGCAAGTCACCAGTCCAAACCCTGATCTGCAACAATTCAATTTCAGTTCACACATCAAGGTAAATGTTACTTTGTGTATAAGGTACAATCCGCTGACAAATCTAAAGTCCCACATCGGAAACCTGATAAAATAAAATGCAGCTTAGGGATAGTATTATCGTTGATTAGTAGTATCTGTTGGTCCGTCTCTCTAAAATCTTAACATTATGGCATGTTCTGCCTTACGTATGCCTTTCCAAGTAACTAAAAACCAAGTAATTTTTCACAGATGAACTCCCTATACAACTAGGTTTCAACCATGGATCAGCTTCAACCTCATCTGCCTACCAATCAGAAGGCAGCAGCAATCAGTTAATGGTTTCTCTAGCACAAAGCCAACCAATGCAATTCCGAAGCAACAGCTTTTCGGTGGAGGACTTTAACTCCGTCATCTACAATGGAGAAAGCAGTTGGCCGCCTCTCGGTGGTTTCCAAGCGCCAATTCTCCCAACCGGTCATTTAGGGACAGAAAACCTTTTCCAGGTCCAAGCATCAACTTGGTCTCCTGCAAACCCAATATGGGAACAAGCAGGCGGCTTCTACTTCACCTCAGGTAGCGAAGCAGAAGCCGCACATTTCCCTCTTCCTGCTTTTGTACATAACGCAGGGACTAGACAGAAACCCAAGGCATGCTGGTGCAAGCTTCGTGCCGCCATTAAATGGTGGGTTTCGGTTAGGAGGCATGGGATTGCTAGAAGAATGGCAAGGTCTCCTATGTATCTGAACTACTAGAAGAAATGTAGTTTCATCTTCTCTGTTTTAGTTTGCTAATTACTATTTACTAGCTGTAGAAAGCAAGCAATTCCCTAGAGGTAAAAGGGGTAAAATATCTCCTAGTCCTAGATGTGCTAAGCTTAGTAGTTCATAGGTTTTAGTTTTCTGCAGTTCATTGATCATATTGTACATAGTGTCAAACTGGTCTATGTAAAATTTGGTTTTTGAAAAGGAATACAGAAATAAATTATTGCTTTATGTATTTTACTTAGCTATTACTTTCACCACAAGAAATTGCGTAGATTTTTGTGATCATCGTAAATCTATTTGACCATAACGTGGTGTGTACTAATTTGTTAAAGGAAGCGGGACGATACTAATTTAAGATGCTAATTAAATAAGTAAGGAAGTAAAGGGCGAAAGATGGGCGTTAATGAATCAGACTGATGATGACACGTGAAGTGCAATAGCTTGTTAAAAAATAAGTATAATGATTTCAGATTCTAATATAAGTAGATACGAAAGCGAGATGTAAAAGCGAACGTATAATACGTTGATCAAATTAACGACGACACGTGGTGTGCAGTAATATGTTACGGAATCAAGTTGATCAAACTAATGATACTTTTGTTCGTTACGCATTTTTATTAGCAATAATTTTTTTGTCCAACACCGTAAAAAACGCTTTTGATTATCTGAAAGTAAATATGGGGCCAATTCCATCTTCAAATAGGCCTAAGAATCCCACAATTGAGAACCCGACATGCCTGGACCTCCAAACAAAGCCCAATGGCAGAGCACCGTAATTCAAGTTAACTTCAGGCCCTTTCTGAATATTACGAAGAAAATATCTAGCCGCCCGGCAGACGGAGTCAGTTTTCGTACACACGAAATGAAATTCTCGAACCTTCCCCCTCCGTACCGTAACCAAGATATTTTCTCCGCCTCTAAACAAACGTGACCACCCAAAAAAAAAAAATCCCAGAGAAACGCAGAGCCTCCCTCTTTTCTTCTTCTTCTCTCCGGCAGGCTCCGTTGCGGGAGAGAGAAGCTTTTCAGTTCTTGGAGCTCTTCGGCTTTGAATTTTGAAGGCTCTGTTTCGATTTTTTGATTTGTTGGGTGGGTTGAGGGTTTTTGTGGGTGTGTGGAGTGATGGACAGAGAAGGAGGATCCAACGGCGGATCTTCCTACTACGCCGTCCTCGGGATCCGCAGGGACGCCTCCTTCTCTGATATCCGCACAGCTTACCGCAAGCTCGCTCTGGTAATTCCCCTTCACCAAACGCCGCCGTTTTCATTCTCGTTCATCTTGTGGGTCCTCCGTTTTCTGCAAATCAAAACTAACAACAGCTTGATTTCGGAAATTTTCTTGGGTATTATTTGATCTTGTGATATATTTTTTTTTTCATTTTATTTGAAGAAATGGCATCCGGATAGGGCGCGAAGTCAAACGGCGGCGGGAGAAGCCAAGCGGCGGTTTCAGCAAATCCAAGAGGCTTACTCCGGTAACGTTATGAATTTACGTTCATACGACGTCGTTAGTTAAAAAGCCTGATAGCCTTGAATTTCTCGCGCTAACGACGCCGTTTTAGTTGTCCGCAGTTCTCTCGGATCAGGCGAAGCGGTCGATGTACGACGCCGGGCTCTACGACCCCCTCGAAGAAGAAGACCAGGTGCGTTACAAAATTATTCACCGTACACAATGCACGGTAAAAAAAAGAAAGTAAAAAAACAAAATTACGTCGCTGTTTTTCGGTTTCCTGTTATGTCCCTGAATTTTTGTACTTTTGTCGGCAGGAATTTTGCAATTTCATGGGTGAAATGCTGTCCATGATGAACAATGTGAAAGACGAGGTAAGGAGAATGTGGTAATTTTATCATTTAACTTTCCTTAAACGCGATTAATGCTTTTCGGGGGGATCTAATTACAATTTTGATTATTCAGGGGGACAGTTTGGAAGATCTCCAGAGGATGTTCAACGACATGGTCGGCGGAGACGGGATGATGGGATTCGACTTCGGCGACATGAATCCGACGGCGAACAAGAAGCCACGTGTTAGTGCGTCGAGAGGTGCCAAGTCTCGCTGCTAGCGCGATGCAGCGGATCATGTGAAGGAAAATGTTGTTTATTCAAAAATGGCCCACCCAATTGTGTTTTATTTTAATTTTCGTTTTTAATTTGGACTGGATTGAACTTTTGTTTAATCCTTAATTCCCGGATTAAGAAGTGATTGGAGGTTAAGGGGGGGTTAAATCCAGTTTGTGGGTGGTGGTGGTGACTCGTGTATGTTGGTGGTTTTAGTAATTAAATAATTCTCCTTTATTCCTTTTGATGTTTTTATTTCTGGTTCAATGTGATTGGTAATTTGATGTAGTTGGTTGACATTGACGTCTGCCTTTTTCTGGTGTCTTCTCTTGTACATTAATTAAATTGGCCTTCTTAGATGTGTTACAATTGTAAGACGCCAGTCAGTGTCGCTAGGTTCTGTTTAGGTGGGAAAAGGATTTTCGCAGGATTCTTTTTCTGAACATTCAGGGAATTCATACATTATCTTCATTCATCTACCTTCATTTACGATTAATTTTCGTTAGATATTATTTATATTTAATTTTAAAATTTAAATGATTTAGGACCGCACAATGTATAATGAACGAACATAACTTTTTGAATCCTCAGGAAAAGGATCTGTCTGTTTAGGTGCTAGTCAGTTGTCATTTTGATTAATTTTAGACGTTTGAGAATTAATAAATAGGTCTAGACGTGCTTAGGGACTTGTTAGGCATTCTACTTAAGTTGTAGCTCTCATAGAAAATAGATGATTTTTATTTTGTATTTTTTAAAATAAATTGTAATAGACTTGTTGAATATTTGTATGAACTCTTTTGTTTCATATGTTTTTAATATGTTTTAAATTTTATAATTATGTGTCATTCTATTGTAATTTATGTATTTTTTAGTATAAGTACACATTCTATTGTAATTTAATTAAATAATATAAAAATAAAAATAAATAAACTCCCTAGTCCTCACCTGGACGCTCAGTCTAGGCCTCTATTCACCGTCCGACCAGCGTCTAGTGTCTTTTTTTAAATCTTGTTTCTTGTTCATTAAGGAGGTAGTCTAGAAAAAAGAATGACAAGAAACTCTTGTGCCCAACACTCTGAACCCATGGTTGTACAACCACACACAATGGTCGTATACACAATGCACCCGCCTATCACCATACGCATAGGGCAACATTGCTTTGCATGTAACAAGGTATCTTTCGAAGTTCAAACAAAATTCTAGGGATTTGGTTTGTCTAAAACTACAAGTCCAAGTCCCACAGTCGCTAGCTAGGCAATCAGTAGAGATATTTGTTTGGCACAAGTGTGGTTGTTGTAGGTTTAAGATTGCCTTTGGTTCTTATTAGACCATACAAACTATAGTGTGCTAGATTTGCTAATGATACTTTTCTATATTATAAGCGAGAATTTTGAGTTTAATTCACTTTCATGGCAAGTTTGATAGAATCGATACTAATCGTTATGACTAACTTATTTTGAGTTACGATATTGAGAAAATGTAAAATGACCTAAGATCTCAGGTGCATGAGTAAATGCTTTTAAATATTTTGAGTTAGAAGCTCTTTGCAAATATTAACCCTTTCTTAGAGTCAGAATCATTTTATATCAAGAGCAGAGCCGACTTTGAGATTTTGGGAGCCCTATGCGAGATTCAAACGGAGGCCTTATAAGGTCTAAAATTTTGGTTGTTGTATTTTCTTTTATATTTTTATTTTTTATTGTGTGTAAATTGATTACGCAAAAGAAAATAAATTCAATGAAACACGCTGTGGTGACTGCGTACCTATTTGCATCCTTATATTTTTGGGTTCGAAACTCCTTGCTTTTAAATATGAAAAGATAAAAAGATGAAGTGACGGAGGAGGTATTCGAACAAGGTTGGAACTACAAAGATAAAAAACGCGAAAACACTTACACTAAAAACTTAATTTGGTCAATTGATATGTATATATTTCACATACAAGTAAAATAAAATCATAAATTGAGGGCACTTTCGAACTAGGGCCTTGTACGATGACACCGCAAAGAAAAAATTATTTAAAGAATAGAAATTTTTTATTTATTAAAAGATATAAATGATAGAAAATTCATAAGGAATTATTTTGCAGGATGTTGGTCCAAAAATTGTATAAAAGTATTTATTAGGCCCATAAAATTGTATAAAAGTATTTATTGGGCCTATAAATTACGTAAAGCATTGTGGATCAATAATGGTTTACTCGATTTGATTTGGGCTTGTTTAAAGGCCTTTTTCCCGGGCATATTGGCTGGACCAATAAACTTCGGTTTAGAGAAGCCCATGACGTGTATTTATTTTCCTTGTAACTTGTAAGTGATTTTTTATTGTTTTTAAAATATTAAATTCTTTTTTTTTTCATAGAAAACAATTCTAACCTTATAAGAAATTTCAAAGAAAGTCAGCCACCTCAGTCGTTCTCATATTCATTTTGGTATATTCATTTTGGTTTTCTAAAATTACCCCAACAATTTAATTCTTTTCTGTACACTTGGGATTACGTTTCGCTGTCACACGGATTCAGCGTTTGCTTACATTTTTACCCCTACGAAAATAATTATATTACTACTATTGTTTTACGTGTATTTATCTCGACAAATGAACTGAAAGAAGTTAAAATTATACTATAAAATCAATTGACAATAATCGGCCGGTAGACGACATCAAGACACTTTTGTGGGTTGCGTCAAACAAATAGAACTCTCAGCGAAGTGGTTCGGGGCCGGTTTTGATGGGTAAAAACCGCGTTTTCCTTCGTCGAACAATCGAACCAAGCCCAAGGAAAGCGACGGTATTTCCCTCATCTTCAAATTCAAACCAAGTGGCAATCTCCGTAATTACCTGCCGATCCGAGCCCAAAACACCAACCCCTTCCGACCCCTCCGCTTGCGCTATAAAAATCCTCTCCATCTGGAAGTTCCAATCCCTCTCACTTGAAAAATATAGGAAATAAACACAAAGCACAAACCCCACTCCCAAACTCCCCCAACTCTCTCTCTCTCTCTTCTTTCTCTCTCCTCTGCTCGCTAAAACCCTTTCGCTCTCTCTCTTCTAGGGTTTCGGATTCTTAATTTGGACTGAAACGATGTCGTTGAGGCCGAACGCGAGGGCGGAGGTCCGCCGGAACAGGTACAAGGTGGCTGTGGACGCGGAGGAGGGGCGGCGTCGGAGGGAGGACAATATGGTGGAGATCAGGAAGAACCGCAGAGAAGAGAGCCTCCAGAAGAAGCGCCGCGAGGGGCTTCAAACCCAGCAATTGCCCTCCAGTCTTCACTCCGCCGGTCTGGATAAGAAGGTAAAACCTAATGTTTCATTTTGGAGTGATTTGGGGGTTTGGTTGAATTGATTTGTAGGGTTTGTTAAATTGGGATTTTACTGATTAAGATGAATGCGTGCGTTTGGTGACTTTTTGTTTTATTGGATTAGGATTGGATTGATTAATTGGTTACTGTGCTTATCAATTTTTTAGCTGAAATGGAAGCTACTTTGAGTGCATATGATCGACGTAGGAGTTGTGGGGAAATAGTTTTAATCCTTTGAGCGGTTGTTAGATGCATGCTGAATACCCACTCTGCGTAGTTATTGTATTCATTTGGGGATGTGAGTGTTTTCTATTTAGTAGACTTTAGCATCACTGTTGTTTTGTTGCTGTTTTGTCAAGTCCTGCCTTACTTTTAAATATTTTTTAGGATTCCAAATGTTTAAGTTTTCAAGTCACGGAGCTGTGCTAAGGTTATTGTTCCGTGTTTGTGGCTGCGTACTGATTAGTGCAGTTCCACACAAAAAACCTTCTAGAGTTTGAAATGAAGGAAAATCGATGCATATGTTTTTTTCCTGTAAAACATTTTAATTATGCTTTAAGTTTTGGTAGTTTTGACATTGTGTTGGAGATAATATTAATAGTGGTTGAATATTTCTTGATACAGCTAGAGCATCTACCATCCATGGTTGCTGGTGTTTGGGGTGATGAGGGCACTATGCAGCTTGAGGCAACAACCCAGTTTAGGAAGTTGCTTTCAATTGGTGAGTAGACGTTTGGGGCTGTACAATTTTTTTCCCTTCATACAGCAGACTGTACGTGCCTATTGATTTTTTTTCCTACATGCTAGAACGTAGCCCTCCGATTGAGGAAGTCATACAAGCGGGTGTCGTTCCTCGCTTTGTTGAGTTTCTAATGAGGGAGGATTTTCCACAACTTCAGGTATGATACTTTCTTTTTTAATGTTTAGTTATTGATTATGTTCTTATTTATGTCTGCTAAAAAATGTTGCATACAATTTCCTGCAGTTTGAAGCTGCTTGGGCTCTTACAAATATTGCTTCTGGGACATCTGATAATACAAGGGTGGTAATTGATCATGGAGCTGTTCCGATATTTGTGAAACTGCTCAGTTCTCCGAGTGATGATGTTCGTGAGCAGGTAAACATTGGGAAGATCAGTTGAGGTTTTTCTCCAAATTGTTAGGTTTATTTTGTTGCTCTTGTCTAGTTGTATCTACTCTAGTGTTGACTGTCATTGATTCCCTCCCTTTGTCATCTTTAACTTGCAGGCTGTTTGGGCATTGGGAAATGTTGCTGGTGATTCCCCTAGATGCCGTGATCTTGTACTTGGTAATGGGGCTTTGCTTCCATTGCTTTCACAGCTTAATGAGAATGCAAAGCTCTCTATGCTGAGAAACGCAACCTGGACACTGTCAAATTTTTGCAGGGGCAAACCACAGCCTCCATTTGAACAGGTTAGGGTTTTAAAGATATGTTTAACTTGAAAGATTCTGAACCTAGTGACTTAGGTGTTATATGGCTTTGGTAGTACCGTCTGTTGTAATATTTTGGCAAGAATGTCAGGTCAATTCAGGTTGCGTCCGTACTAAGAATGGTAGTTTGATATATAATTTTTTTTAATTTTTTGTTGCAGGTTAAGCCTGCCCTTCCTGCTCTTGCGCGTTTGATTCATTCAAACGATGAAGAAGTCTTGACTGATGCTTGTTGGGCTCTTTCATACCTTTCTGATGGTACAAATGACAAAATCCAAGCCGTTATTGAATCTGGAGTGTGCCCCCGGCTTGTTGAGCTTTTAATGTGAGTGCTTACAGTGCTCTGTTTGTATTTCATCCCTTATTGTTAGTTCTGTAAATTCTGACTTTTCTAAGCATTGTTCCAGGCATCCATCTCCATCAGTTCTCATTCCTGCTCTCCGCACGGTTGGAAATATTGTTACTGGAGATGATATGCAAACTCAGGTATTGTTTGCTCTTTGGCATTTTGGTTGTCTTGTTTTCCCATTTGTTTCTAGATGATATGTGACCCAGTATATTATTCCTTCTCTATGGTTGCCCTTTTAGAGAATGACGAAATAATAAAAATTTTAAGTTTAATGGAATAATCTGTCCCTTTGCCATTGTAACATTTCTGTTTCTGCATTTGGAATTAATGAGCTTTTGTTTCTTCCTAGGTTATCATCCAACATCAAGCTCTTCCTTGCCTGCTAAATCTTTTGACTAACAATTACAAAAAGAGCATCAAGAAGGAAGCTTGCTGGACTATTTCAAATATCACAGCCGGAAACAAGGAACAGATCCGGGTAACGCAAAGATATTCTCATTTCTTTGAATATTTACATTCGTGCAATCATGAAGTGTAGAACTTGATTTAAAGTTTCTGTCAAGTCTGGCATCTGAGGTACTGATGTACTAATTACTTGGTGGGTTTAACAGGCTGTAGTTGAGGCTAATATAATCGGCCCTCTTGTTAATCTGCTTCAAAATGCTGAGTTTGATATAAAGAAAGAGGCTGCATGGGCAATCTCAAATGCTACATCTGGTGGTTCTCATGAGCAGATAAAGTACAAATAAAATCTTGTTAGCTTTATTACTACCGATAAAGTATGAAGCTTTGTTCTGTACTGATTTAATTTGTCTATTCGGTGACAGGTTTCTAGTTAGTCAAGGGTGTATCAAGCCGCTGTGTGATCTTCTTGTTTGCCCAGATCCTAGAATTGTTACAGTTTGTTTAGAAGGCCTGGAGAACATTTTGAAGGTTGGTGAAGCCGAGAAGAACTTGGGTACTACTGGAGGTGTGAATCTCTATGCTCAGGCGATTGAAGATGCTGATGGTTTGGAGAAAATTGAGTCTCTGCAGAGTCATGACAATACAGAGATTTATGAGAAGGCAGTAAAGATGCTCGAGACATATTGGTTGGAGGACGACGATGAAACAATGCCACCAGGTGATGCAGCTCCAACTACGTTCAACTTTGGAGGGAATGACGTTCCAACTGTCCCATCTGGTGGATTCAACTTCGGCTAGAGGTGATGCACCTTTCACAAATTACATAATTTTTTGTTTTGGAATGTGGACGGTGTTAATGATGTTTCAAATTGTAATCTTGTATCAATTGCAGAAACATTCCTCAGCAAGGCAATAATCCAGTCAGGTCAGGTCAGGTCAGGTCAAGCGTCATGTTATGTTCGAGTCCTGTTGTAGGGTTGAATGTTGTCGGGGGTGGCTGGCTCAGGTGTTTGAACCAGCTGGTTTAAATCGGTTCAGGCTTCCATGGGCTTTTGATCATAGGGACATCACCAACACAGATTAAAGGAAAGAACCGGAGTTATTTTTTTTGGAGTCGTTATTTCCGGTGGTCGGGTCAATTGTCCCATGAAGCAAGATTTTGAGTTGTTTTCTCGTCTTTCCATTTGTTTTAGGTGTCATATATCGGTGTCATATGTCTACTACAGTTGATCACAGGTGGTTTTGGAACTCCCAAACTTCGTTTTCGTAGTCGACGGTCGAAGGATTTCTGTTCTTGCTTATGGTTCTGTCTGTTGTTGAATCTTCGTCTTCCCGTTTTCGGGTTCCAGATTTGTTGTTGGGTCGGAGTCAAAATATATTGCCAGATGGTATACCTTTATATTGGTTATATATTAAAATTTGTCTAAAGATTTTAATATGATCGAGAAAAACTTTTGGACTTAATATGTTATTTCTACTTGTTATGTTAATGCTTTAGGTTTAACAAAAGGAATTTTGTATAGTAAAATTTCAAACAAATTTAATTACCCTATAAATTTGGTAGGAATGAAGTTAAAAAAATGAAATGTGGATGTTGACCAGATGGGGTTGCAGATGGCGTTTTCTCGCACTGGCATAAAGCAATTATGCATATGCACTTTGATGCGGATTCGATCTCCTCTAACTGCCATCAACTTTTTATGGTGGGTCTGGGCTGTCTGGCTAATGGGCATAAACAAGTTATGCCTTGGAATTTCGAATCTGCTTTGTATATAAACGAGGAAGCTATAAGTAATGTAATTATGAATCTCATGTAGAGTTTGATCCCGACTTAGTATGAACGTTGGTCGCCTATTAATACCCATTGTTCTAAAAATCTCCTCCTAGCGTCGTCTAGGCTCCGCCTAGGTGCTAGGTGATTAGTCACCGTCTCGATTAATGCCTAGGCGTTTGAAAATTAAGAAAATACGCCTAGACCTACTGAGGCGCCCATCTAGACCGCCTAGGCACTCGCCTAACCCGTCTAGACCCGCCTAGACACCCGTCTAGGTTGCGACTCACTTAGACAGAAAATAGATAACTTTTATTTTGCATTTTATTTTTTCAATAAATTGTAAAAGATTTGTTGAATACTTGAACACACATTATATACTTGTTCTCCATGTTTTCATTGTGTTCCAATAGCTCATAATATATATGTCATTCTATTTTGTAGTTTATGATGAAATTATATATACTTTAAGTATAAATAGATACTTATTTACACGAAATCTAATAAATTTAATTAAATCCGTCTAGTCTGCTTAGACCCCACCTAAACGTTAGGCGCCAGGAACTAGGTTATAGCCTACCACCTGACTAGCGTCTAATGTTTTTTATAATCAAGCTAAAAACCCAATAGCCTGAGGAGGAATCCGCACCCTCTTGAAACTGCCCATAAGCCAATTGCCAAGCCACATTCGAACGTCAACTCTCAGAAGTGTTCCACTGTCTAGAACCACAGGCAGCCTGTGGCAGCAAGCATCCTCAAGCACCACGACCAAGGCACCAAATGGTTACGTGGCTGTTTCCATTGAACCCCACTGACTTTAGAAACTTTCATGTTTTGGTAACCAGAGAATCTGCACATACCAAAAGAATGTTAGGAACCATCAGATTCTAGTTTCCCCATGCAAAACACATTCTTTTGGGTTTTCAAAACCACAAAAAAAAACAAGTAACCAAAGCATGGACTGAGATTCACTTCGGATCTCTGTGTCAGGAGTTTATGTATCGAGAGATCCAAACCGTTCAAGAAAGAGAGAGATTTGGGCGGCTCAAGATTTTGAGATTTTGTGAAATGGGCTAGTGAGATGAGCCAACAGGAGCTGTAGGATTAAAATTGAGTAATTGAGAGATCCGGAGTGGATCTCAAACATGCATTCACCCAAAGTCCCCCCATATCAAAATTATGAGAAAGTTATATACGCTATAGCATGTCACCGCGACATTTTCCCGATAACGTATTATTATGTTTTTATAACTGTTTAAATTCATGACAATGCGATATTTGTTTTAACTTTTAAGATGTCACGGTGATGTAATAACTGTAACAGTGCGTAGGTAAGTGTACTGTGTATTGCAAACCCATACACTGACCAACTCATTCACACATCACAAGCAGCAGCGAGTATTGGTTTATCTACAGTCGCTGCGAGTGGCGGAACAAGGCGCATTCTTTAACTGCCACGTGACTGTCCCTGCGCCTGAAATTTGGCTACCGTACGCAGTGCCACCAGCAGGCAACAGGAAATAAAAGCGAATGATACGAGAGGATCACAGTGGGGGATATTTTCGACATTTCCACGATGATCACCTCGGCCTAGGGTTTTTGGTTTCAAGATCATATCTAGGGGTGGGTTCGGTACAGTTACCGTACCAAAATCCTTGTACCAATTACCGTACCAAACTTTCGGTTTGGTAAAATCTATTACCATTACCGTACCAAACTTTCGGTATACCGAAGTTCAGTATTGCCAAAAGTTTGGTTGGCATGGTATGACAATGGTAATTGCCATTTTGTTTTGGGACAAAATATGTTTTTGTTTTTTTAACCCAATTCAAGGGCAAAACTTTTTTTTTGGTACCTTTATCTCATACATTATAGATTAAATTCATTTATTATTCATCATTCACAATTCACACACATAATAATTCAAATGAAGCATTAAGATTCATCATGAAAATTAAGCTTACAATCCAAATAAAAGTTACGAACCAAAACAAATAGAAGTTAACAATCCAAATAGAAATTAAAGTTTCAAACCAAATGAAAATTGGAAGTAAACTTCAAAAAGAAGAATTCATTGATCAGTTATTCAAGCTTGAGATGTCGAAGCTTTTGGAGGAGGCATTGAACTTGTAGAAGATTGAGTTTGTGTCAAGCTTACATTACAAACAAGAAAAACATATTAATTAGTAGCAAGAAGAATTAAAGTTGAAAACCATTTAATAACAAATTTACTAAAAAAATTAAAGCATATCTTTCTTGTTTTCTCTTCTCTATTTCCTTGTAAAAATTGAAGCATATCTTCCATTTGGTCCTTGTAGAAGTTTACTTCACCTGCCCTAAGCCAACCACTAGTACACACTAGTGCCTCAATTATTTTAGGAGTCAAGGATACCCTAAAAGGGTTCACAACCCTCCTCCCTAAACTAAATGCATTTTCACTAGCAACAGTAGAAGTGGGGGTTACAAAAAATATTTTGGCTATTTGTGAAAGAATTAGGAACTCTTTTGTGTTTGATTTCCATAATTTTAAGAGATCAAAGTCACCAACAACAATGCTAATATAAGTAGGGTTTTATTTTCAAATTATTGGAATATTATAAATATGTGTTATATAATTATGTATTATATAAATGATAAATTATAAATTATATTGTATTTTCGGTATGGTACGGTAATACCGTGGTAATGGTATCCATTACCAATACCGTACCATTACCGATTGGTACAAAAAATTGGGCACAAAATCGGTATGGCACGGTTGACAATTCGGTTGGCACGACAATTTGGCAAAAAAATCCACCCCTAATCATATCCACCTGATGCGAACGAATAAGAATTTTTCAATGTGTATATTATGCGGTCAGTTTTTATCAAGTACTATATATATTTAATTTTAAATAAAAAATTTACAATAATTTCTGACCGCACGATATACAATGAACAAATATAATTGGATGATTCCAAGATCCTTGCAAAGATAATCCGGAGAGAGTACTCATTCCACCTGACCCTTCCCACCGGCCACCAGAGGTCTCTGTCACTCTCTCTCTCTCGCGCTCATGCATGGCACTCTCACTCCTCTGGTTTTTTATCTGTGTTTTTCTTTAAATCCATGTCTTTCTCTCTCTCTCTCTCTCTCTCTCTCTCTCCCTCTCTCCCTCTCTACTTTCTAAACCATGATCATTAGGCTTCCCTAAAACCCCACTAACCCAAATCTCTCACTCTTTCTTCCTATCTTCTTTTGAGTTTCTCAGGGTTTGTGGATAAAATGGATCTGAGAAGAAAGGTAGTAGATTTAGTTTCTACATCTGCTTCTGATTTCTGGGTTTTCCTTCATTTTTCAGATTTCATTAAAATTTGGTGACATTTTTGGACTCGAAAACAGGTAATTCAGGATATGAACGTGAAGAATGTGAAGAACAAGAAGTTCTGCACTGACTGCAAAGCCACTGAGACGCCCTTGTGGAGGAGTGGCCCGGCTGGGCCCAAGGTCAGACCCGACCCGACCACCCACCCTACCATTTGTCCACAATAATATGCTTGTTTTCTAGTCATTTCATTCCTCCTGCAGCATTCTTTTTTCTGTTTTGATTTTTGGGACTCCCCTTAACTATTTGGATCTTTCTTTTTAGCATGTTATGCATTAGTGCTTTTCAGCTCAATGAGCAAAAACCCAGGTGATTTTTGTTGCATTTTGGGAATTGGGTCTGATTTTGTTTGCTGGGTCCTCCTCATTCTTCAGACAATGTTAATTTTCTTAAAAAAAAATGCTTCTTTTCAATTGGTTTTTTTATTTGTTTTGTCAATTTCAATTGGGTTTTTTGAGATTGATGTTTTGGGTCCCAACTTTTGGTTGTATTTTATGATCTGTAGCTGTCTTTTTCCTGTTTGCTGCACCCATTTGATGATTTCACTACTTTTTCTGTTCTCAAACTATTACTTGTTTTGCTCTTTTTTGTTCTCAAAAAACAAAACCCATTTGATTCTTCTTCTTTATTTTTTTCAAAAAAAAAAAAAAAAAAAAAAAAAAAAGCCCCATTTGGCTCTGTTCATACTTCTTAATTTTCATGCATCTGCAGCTGTGAATTACTAAAAATATATGACCATTTATTTCCCTTTTCTTACAAAGCAAAACCCATCTGTTTAGTTTAATGATTTTTGTGTGGTTTTTTTTTTTTTTTTCAGTCACTGTGCAATGCTTGTGGGATCAGATACAGGAAGAAAATTCCTACTGTGAGTATGTGCAAGGGACCAAAGAGGTGGAAGAAAGACAAAACATATGGCGGCAGCAGCAGCACCAGTACAATCACCACCCCAGCCACCACAAACACTGCTGCTTCTGCTTCTGCCACCACCACCACGAGCACCACTGCCAGAAAAGCCAAAATTGGTGGCAGTGGTGGTGGTAGCACAGGCTTGAGTGAGTCACTGCAGGTGAAGTTAGTGGCTTTTGGGAAGGATGTGTGCCTGCAAGGCACACCACCAGTGCAGAAGAAAAGGAGGTACCAAAAGAGGAGGAGGGAGATGGGAGAGGTGGAGCAAGCAGCTGTGTGCTTGCTGGCCATGTCATCTCACTCTGTTTTTGGTTAATGGGGAACAAAAAGTTGTGGAGTACAATATTATAGTAAACAATGAAGTCCCCAAAGGAGTCAAAATATAGTTTTGGATGGTCTTTTTTTGGTAGTTAGTTTTACTAATTAAGATTAGGGGGGATTATTATACCCTTGCTAATGCTCATTAGGGGAAGTAATGAATAGGAAGGAACATGGGAAGGTCTAAGAAATAGAGGGTGGTGATGGTTTCTTAGGGAATTAAGACAATCCTGTATTTTGGTGCAATCTTTGATTGTGTTGTACATATTAATGGAAGTATGAGTAATTCACTATTTACTTTTTTTCCATTTGCCATTTTCTGGATGCTTGTTTTGCCAAAATACACTCACATCCCATGTTTTGATGTTTGAGGGATTTTTGGACAGCGGTCGATGTATTCTTTTTACCTTTTATACATTCTTCTTAATTTTTAGTTGTGGGATTTTAAAAAATATTAATAGAGAAAAATTGGCAAGCGTGTACGAGAGGTAAATATAAGTGTGTGAATAACATTACCTTTTTTTAATCATTACAGAATATCGATCATGTATATTACGACATAGAAGGAAGGAATAAGTTGAATGGAATCGAACTCTAAACATATCATTTTGTATAGCCTTGTGATATAACCTTGTATTGAGATGCCGTACCGGAGCTCAAGAGTTTTAATCGAATGTGTTGTTTGTGTTTCAAAAATAAAATAGAGGGAATAGACAATTTAAGTTACGTTTGATGCTTATGATTACACTGCATTGAACATTTCACTAGAATAGAGGTATATTAGAGAAATACATGGAGATCAACCTCTCAATTTTTATCCATTGAAGATAGAAGACAAATTAGACATGAAGGAAACTTATCACTTTCGATGGAACATTCACCTTAAATTCTGTGACATTAATGTAAGCCTGAATATTAGCCCTTAATTAACCCTACACTGTGTTCATTACAGAATTTCCCTCCAAAAGTGATATGTTGGGCATATCAAAAGGAGAAAGGACTAGTGACGCCCATAGTTTAAGGGCTGCCTGTAAATTGAAGGGTCATGATGCCCAGCCAGCCCCTACCATCCTACGGCCCCTACCATCCTACGGCCCCCTCCTGCATGGCCCAATTATTTGAGTATCTGAGATTTGATATGTGGGTAGCTGGGCAGGTGCCTTTCCTGCCATACAAAGCTGCCCAAAGATGCAGTGCCAATTCTAGCTCAAGTCCTCTCAAATTGTCATCTTATTGACAGCTTTGCCCCTTAATATATGGAGAAAGGGAATCATATTTCAAAAGGGGTTCTTGTAAATTGCATGGCCAAATTGGCATTACCTCACTTGTATGTGTACCACATTTCGCTTGCTTGCTTTACAATTAGCTTTTAGACAAAATGATCTTTGATGTTGGTATCTTCTTATTTTGGTTTCTGAAATTTGAAATCGATAAAAGTAATAATTTTAGTTATTCTATGTAAAATCTCTGTTAAATAAAGACCAAATAACAAAAATACAGTCAATGATTTGACAAAAATTCAAGTATTTTTGTCATTTTTTTTCTTGTTTAACAAAAATTTATCACGGAATGACCAAAGTAATTCATGGTGGACAAATTTAGGGAACAATTCTATCAAGTTTAAATCTTATGGACCAAAGTGAGAAATTATGTCAATATCATAGACCATTTTGGCCTAAAAACCCTTTACAATTTCAATCTCAAGCAAAGAATGGATAAATTTTTTAGTATGCTGAGAACATGGTTCGATACATCAAGTTGCATAATATAAGTGGTTTGAAATTTTTTTTGTCCAAGTATCTAACTACTTATATTATAACACCTGATATGTCAGATTGTGTTCTTGGCATATTGAATAATCTCTTCAAATAATGATGGCCTACGATGTTCTCATTGTCCTAAAATGTGACTGTTGACTTGAGTTTGAGGAAGGTATTTTGGGAGAGATGAATGATTGGCATTTTAATTGCTAAGGGTTATATACGTCGGACCGTCGGTGCGGTTTTTTTTTTCTTTTGCTCGAAGCTTTTATCCTTTGAGCAAGATTTTAACGACGCTACTTTCATCCCGAACATTTCAATTATTTCCCAACAATGGAGTTGTACCTATTATTCCTCAACAACAACAACAAATTTTCACCATACACAAAGTAATACTTTGAATTAAAATGCCAACATTTAATTCAAAACAACCCATCTCTGTTTTTTTCATTGAAGGTTGGAAGTTTGGATCCTCTCTAGATCCCAAAAAACTGAGTCTAATGATCAAATGATTCGGACTCTTGAAATTTGATCAAACGGCTACAAACAAAAGACCCCTAAAAGTTATAATAATTGTAGCTGTTGGATTAAATTTCAACGATCCGGATAATTTGATTCTTAAGCTTAGTTTTTGGGGATTCGAAGAGGAACCGGGTTCCAAGGTTGGGGAGGAAGATACCGTACTAAACAATAGAATAAATATTACAAGCTACTTAACTTTTGGGTCAAAAATTCTAATTCCAAACCAGCAAAATAGGAAAGGGATCCACATCGGATCCTCTCCTCCTAGTCCACTAAATCCGGTAATCTGGACCATTGAAATTTGATCAAACGGTTACAAATAGGAGTTCACTTTAAAAGTTATAATAACTTTAACCGTTTAATAAAATTTCAATGATCCGGATTTCCGAACTTAATGGATTAGGAGGAAGGGGGATCCCTTTCCAGAAAAATAAATAAATAAATAAAATTATCCAAATAAAAGTAGGAGATAAAAATCGTTGGAAAAAGGGTTGGTGCAGTGAGGAATTTGAACTTTCAAGGCAGGCAATACTTCTCAAAGAAACCGGATCGAGCACGCGATCCGCAAGTGTTGCCATTGCCGTCGGTACTCGCAATCCCTACCCACGTTCTTCATAACTACACCCACACGACTCATTTTCCATTTCTTCCCCATCTCTTTCTCTCTTCTCTTTCTCCCTATCCCTACAAAATCTTCATCTTCGACGTTTCTGCTAATCAATTCAAATGATTTCTAATACCAGGTAACTCTCTCTCTCTCTCTCTCTCGCATTTGTTTGCTTTAGAGTTCTTATGGAAGATTGTTGCAATTTTCGGTAGACCCTTGCTGTTTTCTGGATTTTGTAGGCCATTTTGCATATGAATCAGTGAGCTTCCATTATTTGCTTATATGGGTTGATTTGTTTTGTCGTAAATATGATGAATTGCAGTCTCATTTGTTATGTATGAGCTTAAAGAGAGCTTCTTTCCTCCTCCCCCTCCCCCTCCCCCTCTGCTTGCTTTGAATTTGTCAAAATGTTAATTTCGAAATGTTAGCCATAAATGTTTCGATTTGGGTTTGTTTTGGTTATTCGTTTATCCTTTATTTGATGAGGAAACACTTCAAAAAGTTATGAAAATTTGAAATATTATGGTCGTATTGTAGTTTCGGATTATGAAAATTTGAAATATTATGGTCATTTTGTAGTTTCGGATTACGATTTTCACACGATTTTTCCGAAATAGTTGAAGTAAATTTATTGAAGTGGAATTGGTTTTCCAGGTTCCAAATAAAATGTAATTCTGGTGTTGGACCTTTTGTGTGTGTGGAGACTGAGACTATTGTAAGTGGCATTTGAATTTATTTATCAATTTTCCAATTGAGCGTTCAATAATTGTTTGTTTGAGATAAAACTGGAAATTAGTTCGACTCCTTGCTATGTTTGATTTGATGATGTAAGTGTTGAAACTCGTACAACCAGGATGAAAGTTTGTTTGTTTGTTCATGTCTACTTAATATCCCTACTTTACTTCGCGCTCAGATTTGATAAATATGCAACATTTGATGGCTAATCTAAGCTTAAATTTGTTCTTCATTCTGGGTTGAATCATATTAATTTGCTGCTCTGGTTATTGAGGTAGTGGTTTGATTAGTATTCGTTTTGTCATTCTTTTCATCAGTGCCCTTTTTTTTTGCATCTTAATTTTCAGGTAAAAGCCAATTGCTTTTTATGGTGGGAATTAATCTCCTGGTGTAATCTTGCCTGTTCTTGATTCTTGCGTTCAGATGAGAACTTTGTCGATGTGCTTTTCATCTTTATCGCAAGTGCCTAGATCATGCAGTGTTTATAGTTTAGCTCATTTTTGGAGTGAAGGTTTTCCCAATTTGAGCAGGACTTGTGGATACAATTGTAACTCTAAGCTACATGATTCCAGAATTTATGCGGTTGATGGAGGAAACAGTAGGAAATGGACTAGAAGATCTCTGACCACAAAAACAGAAGGAAGAAACAAAAGCCCCATAAAACTTAGCCGTGAAATTTTAGATGTAACGGTTTCAACAAGCGCTGCATTAAATATAAATAAAATGGAAACAAGTCAATACCAACAGACTCAACCCTTAGACTTTCGACAGGCAATTGCTCAGAATAAAGACTTAGCCGACTTAGTGACAGTTATTGTTTTCGATATTGAGACTACTGGGTTTAGCAGAGAGAAAGATCGAATCATAGAGATTGCACTTCAAGATCTTGAAGGGGGTGAAAACAGTACTTTCCAGACACTGGTAAACCCTGAACGCAGTGTTCTAAATTCACATGTTCATGGAATTACAACCGATATGGTCAACAGGCCTGATGTTCCAAGGTAATCCTCCCTGACTGCTTTTTTACTTTCTAGAAACTTTTACTCTCGTATGTGAATCAGCCCACTAGTACCTAAAGCCTTCAATTTTGTTTATATGAGGCCTTATTGTTCAGAAATATGTTTCATGCCAAGTGTTTTTTTTTTTTTTAATTGGAAATTCTCCTGGTTCTTTCTGCTGGTTTAAATTTGTTTTCCTAAAGCTATATGTAATTTTACAATCAGGCTATGATAGCTGAGCAATTAGACTATGACAAGCAGAGGAAAATTCACTGAAGTTTCTTGGTTTGTGCATGTGCTCGCACAAGCACGGTACTGTTTTGGTTTCGCTGAATAATAAACCCGTGTATCTCTGTATTTTTCACTCAAAGTCTATGCTTGGATGAGGGATTTTCAAGGGGTTGAGGATAAATTATTTAGAAAGTGTATGTGTGTGTGTTTGCATAACATGTACCAAGCTATATAGTAGAGTGCTACAAACCAAGGCCTACATGCTGGGTCCATATGTAAACCTGATGCATATTATTTTCTTGTCGAAGTACAAATATACATGATATTTGTACCTCGACACACACACACACGCATACGGACCCAACATGTAGGCCTTGGTTTGTAGCACTCTCCTATATGGCAAAGCTATGGTAGAACCATTTGTTATGTACAAAGCATCATCAAGTTTGCTAGTGTATTTGTTCCTTGAAAGATTTAGGAAAGAGTATGTGTGTGTGTATAACACGTACATAGTATAAGCTTGTGAACATTTTCGGAAATTCTACTTATGGATTTTCTGTTGTGAATATCATGTAGGTTCAAGGACCTCTTACCAATCTTAGTCAAGTATGTCAAAAGCCGTCAAAAACCGGGAGGTTGTGTAATGTTGGTTGCTCACAATGCTCGTACTTTTGATGTACCCTTCGTTAGAAGTGAATTCCTTCGCTGTTCCGTAGATATTCCTTCAACTTGGCTGTTCAGGGATACCATGCCTTTGGGACGTGAAGCAATGAAGTCTGAAGGTCAGTTTTTGTGTGTTCATGCTGAAGCCTGTGGAATGTAATTGATGAGATATCTAAGCCTTTAAATTTATTTGTGAACAGGATCATCTTCAAGAAGTATATCGTTGCAAGCCCTTCGTGAGCACTTCCAGATTCCATTGGATGGTACAGCTCACAGAGCCATGGCCGACGTGAAAGTGCTGTCAGCAGTTTTACAAAGGCTGACTTGTATTCTGAAACTCCCACTTTCCAGCCTTGTTGGAGAAGCTTTCTTAGCGTCGGAAACTGGCACTGCAAAGAAAAAGGGTTCCAGATAGGCATGCTTCTGGTCATTACTGAAATACATTCTCGTAACCAATCATCAAATGTGGTCTGGTGGCGTGGGATTCCTCTCGCAGAGCTTCAGGTCGGAGCTGTAGATTGCTCGAGGATCCTAACGGTACCTGTTAGGGTTTGGTCGAAAAAGAAAACAGCTGATCATTGTAACTGTAATACATTGTTGTTTCTAATAATTTATGCCCAGAATTTATCTGTATTGGATTCACTTAAAAAACTTATATAAATACACCAAATAACCCCATTTCATGTGGAACAACATTTTCGGCCCGTCGATCTCGCGCGGAAATGGAAGGAAGCTTGTTTAGAACTTCCTATCTCTGTCAATCTACGTTTAGCGAGGAAACTCGGAATGAAAGGTTTGATTTTGTAGAGATTTGACAGTCAAGCTATGTAGGTCTTGACTTCCTCTACGCTTAAGTTCGAATTCTATGTCAATTAGCTTGTACTACCATCACGTCGGGCTCAATTTGGAAGTCCTGCAACTTGGATTGCAGGCTTCAGTTCGGAGGCAGATTGTCTGCCCTCCTGTTTGGATGTCCTTCTCATCCCCTCCTATTTTGTGCGGTCACGATTAAGTCATATCAAAATTTTATATTAATTTTTTTAAAGAGATAATAAGACAAAAAGCAATAAGAATATAAAATGTTGATATGGCTTAATCGTGACCGTACGAATAAGAGGGGATGGGAAGGGCACCCAAACAGGAGGGCAGACAATCTGCCTCCAATTCAGTTCAGCTGTACCACAACACAATGTTCGAGGAATTGATTGTCACACACCATTTTTCCTTTCTGCACACCCTTGATTATTAGGGACATAAATCAACAAGGATGCGTAGAAGGAGAGAAAGAGTGCGAAAATCATTTCCTATATCATCTCCGTACATATAAGGTGTACATGCAGAAAGTTGGGAGCTAAAAATTGATGTATTTCACTTTATTGAACGATCAAACATACAATGGAACAAATAAATGCCTCATCTTACACACGAGTTCTGGGGAATGAAAGCACAAAATCCCGGCAAATAAAAATCGGAAGAATCAACATAGATCCCTTGGCGAAAACAAAACGCCCTTCCCCATGGAGAACATGTATTTTAAGCTCTATACAGATTCCGGGGCATTCATTCCCCAATGAATCATTACCCCTTCCCCTTACCTTTTCCTAGCAATACAGTAATACCCACAGATGGTCACTTGATGTAGTATATGTAACTAAGGCACTCCAAAACTTGTCTAATCTTCTACTACGGAGAGCATCTTTGCGCATTTAGAAGTTCGAAGGGTCATGACAACTAGTATGAAACCAAAATCTGGAATCAACTGTTATTTCGCTTGCAGATCAAAAGAATATCTCCTTGAGGATTAGGAGGACCAACATGACAAAGCACATGATAACGAGTATGCTAGCACACATCACCATTCCCCCTTGTTTCTGTGTTCTCTCAGCCTGTAAGCCCCATCCGTTAAACATAATATTCCATAAGAACACAGTAAAGAATCTCAAAACAACATAAAGATGAAGTATAATTATCGATGTAAGAAAGGGACCTTTTGCAATTGCTTGAGGCCCTCATCGACTGTACTTGCTACATTCTGGATGTTGTAGTCTATCCTATCAACAATAGTTCCCTGTTTGAAGAAAGATATTTAGTTAACGACTGATATTCTGATAAATATCAAGTATTGACAGGGCATGAAGACTAACCTGGTCTATCACTAGTACTGCCAAATCCTTCATTATCTGAGCAAGCTCATTCACAGATTGCACAACCTATTGGAAAGAGAAAAGAGTATTTGTCAACTGTGAAAGATGCATGATCAAACACCCGTCAATGTAGAAAAAACGAAAAGATCTTCACTTGCCTGTTGGATCTCTCTTTCCCTTTCTGCTGTGACTGCCTCGTTTTTCTTTATCTTGGCCATCTGACGCTCATTAAACATCTGACAGGATATGTGTATTACTATCATACTACGTTCATCTATGGTAAAAAGTGTCTTAAAAATTTGATCACTCAACAACATTACAAATACCAGTATAGGGAATTTAGTTTACTCATATTTGTCATGATTGACAAGATCTTGAGAAAATGGTAGTGAACTGGAGAGAAAGCTTACCATGTCATCCAAATCATCACCATCCATTCTCGACGTACTTCCATTTAGGTTCATCTCTAAATCATCCCCATCTTGACCCTGCATCACCAAAAAGAAAAACAAAAGGAATGTTTGAAAATATATAACTAACAGTTTAACTAGTTTCCAATAACATGTCAGATCACACAGTTACCCTCAGTATACAAACTGAATGCATGAAAACACAATTCCAAGTTCCAAAAAGTATATGGAATATTACGTATGAACCAGATTATCAAGCCAAAGTAAGAACAGAATGTTGAACCAAAGCTATGATGTATAACAATCCACTGACTTGAATGGTTAAAAGGTAAAATTCTTTCCGCACCTCTGTTTGCTGCCTGAGTCGCCTCAAATAAGTTGACTGTTTCTTGCGAAGGTCCATTGAGAGGGTTTGAAGGTCAGTGGCAAGAGATCGCTGCAAAAAAAACATGCAGACATTAGCACTGCCCTTTGGGAATAGTTGAATTATATATAATGCCCCGCTCAAGAGAGTAACACTCTGGAATAAACCAGACATTAGAACTGACCCCAAACCATTTTACTGAGCTGGCAAAAATATCTAGTGACTTCTAATTCATACCTGCACATTTTTTCTAACATTTGAATCTTCAAAAGGCCCAGCTGCAGAAAGTCTCTGTAGTGTCTTCTCAGATTTCCTTATCAAATTCGTTATCTCTTGCGTAAGACTCTCAATCAAGCGTTGATCTTCTTTACCGTCTCCAAAAGAAGGCATTAAAGCCTTTGCATGAGCCTTAGTTAGCTCAGCCATTTTTACCCGTGCACGCTGCACGTTTGCTGCTATCTCTTCAGATAGATCCACCCATGCTGGCGGTAGACCAACAGTAAGTGCACCACGACTGCAGAAATAAAAACACAATGACTTTCCCATTGCAGAGATAAATGATAAAAAAACCCCATACTTGCACCCAATGCATTGGTTTTTTCTGTGCAGTATAAGAATAAAAAAGGATAATATTCCCCTGAAACCAAATTCATCCCCCTTCCTGCAACAAATTTCAGTAATTACAAACTTCCCAAACTTACTAAAAGGCTTTCAACAACCTTCTTGCAATAGCAGGGTCGAGGACCAAACCATTTCAGGTTCTCACATTGCAAACATATTAGAACTACCTCAAATACGAAAACCCACGAATCATAACGCTCCTATACAATGAATCATCTTCGTGGACCGCAACTTTCAAAATCCTAAAAGTTCATCACTGCAATCTCTGAATTGTACATTTACATTGCACCCAATGATCATCCACCCGACATCGAATGCCTAAAACTTCAATTTTGTTATCTAAATATCCCAATTCAGTGTGACCTAATCTGCATTCAGCATACTTCAGTTTTAGGCTTCTTTGTTTCTCCACTATCTGAACCTTTCATTTCTTTTCTACTATTGATCTATGAAACCAAGCTAAACTTTTACTTAATTAAATCTTAAACACTTCAATTAAATCTTAAATTAAACAGAGCAGACCAATTGACGGAGAGGGAAAGAGAGAAGAGAGAGACCTTGAATTACCGGGATCCTCAGTACTGAGCGGGGCATAATTCCGGTTGGGATTCAAAAGCGAAGTGCTGACCAATTCAATGACCGGACCGCCACCGGAGCTCGTAGATGGCGAAGCGTAGGAGCTCGTGGGAGCGCGGACGCTCTTCAACGCATCCCTATACTTCCTGAAAACCAAGGTCCGATTCCTCGTCGCCATGGAAACTGAGCTCCTGATTCAGATTCGAACTGGACAATCACAAAATCTACGGATCCAACGGACGATCAGAGACGTTGATTTTGCGCGCGCCTTGACATGAAAAATGATACGGGAAATGGAGTGGAAAATATGAAGGGTCCTTCTTCTTCTCTCGGGCGGGTGGGGGCGGAGGTCACGTGGTCGGAGATCCGGGGAGAGGGAGGCGCGGGCGGCGAGTCACGTGCTCCGGCGAATTTGGAATTTGTAATTTTTGGTAGAGAGAGGTTGGGGGGTGTTGGAGTTGGTAACTTTGTAATTAAGGCTTCTTCGTCGGTTGGTTTGAAAGTTCGCCGGTGTTGTTTCAACTTCCAATTACGAACGCCGTCTTCTTCCAGTTTGGGCCTGGGCCTGAGGAATTGTAGAGTTTATCTCATTTTTGTGGAATGAGAGCTCAACAACCCAACAAGATCGTCTTCGGATTCTTTTGATGAAGATCTTCGATATTTATGAATCGTGTCTGTTCATTATACATAATGCAATCAATTTTTATTAAGTAATGTTTATATTTATTTTAAATAAAAATATTTAAAATGATTTCTGACCGCAGATGTACAATGAATGAACATAATTCATAAATCCCTAGAATCCTCACAAAGAGGATCCGGACTCCTCAACGGATTTGGATCCTCTCTTGAGCTCAGCCTCCTAATCAAAATCCAACGGTTATAATTATTATAACTTTTAGAGGGACCTCTCTGTTTGTAGTCGTTGAATTAAAATTCAACGACCCGTGTGATTTGTTCAGGAGGCTCAGCAGGCTGAGCTTAGGAGATGATCCAAATCCCTCCTCAACAACAATGTAGGAAGTTGTAATTCTCTATACCAAATACACAGTCTCAAGGACCAAAGTGGAATAACTCACAAAAGTTCTAGGCAAATTCGTAAATAACTTTGTTGTGAGTCTTTCGTATAAGGCCACGTGTCAAATCATGAAAACTACCCAAGTGAAAGTGGAGGTATTGAAAAGGGGAAGAAACTTACTATGAAGGCACAGCTGAGCGAGAAAGTCACAACAAACAACGAGCTGCAAAACGATGTGTGCCAGCCACCGTGAAGAGAACTTTTCAATATGCCAAGAATACGGGCCGATGCATGAAATATTATTCTGAATAACGATAACTCTTGTCATACAAATTATTATTGACGCAAAATAAGGTCATAATAAACTAATATACAAATTATTCTCCTCTTTAAAGACTTATATAACACAAGTGCATCACTATTTTACTGGCCATTTGTCATACTCACATTTTTACCTCTATTAAATTCCCTTCTTTCATCCTAACAGATAATTAAATAAAAAAACTAAAAATACAAAAAACTACAGAAATATACAGCGTAGAGAGAGAGAGAGAGAGAGAGAGAGAGAGAGAGAGTGATATTCCACAATTCAGTAGATATATATAGATAAAATCTGGTAAGAGAGATAAATTCATCCTCATTCCTGCTCTTCCTCCTTCTTTCTCCAGAATCACCACCACCGCCATCGCCACCGCCGCCGCCTTCGTCAACCATCGTCATCCTCAGCTCCTCCAGCTCAACCAACCCCAAAAGCTGATTCCTTTTTCCCATATCAATAATCTCATCAATTCTTCATTTCTAGGGTTTCTGAATCTGAGAAATCAGACCCAAAGGCGAATCGCACCCCAAAGACCTTACCTTTTCGCTTATATTCGTAAAGGGTAGTTAGCTATGGACGGTGATTCCTGGAGCGCCCGTCTTTCTTCTGCCTCTCGGCGTTATCAATCCGCTCTTCAATCTCGATCTGGTAAGCTCACATTCATTTTTTCCCCATTTTATCATTCATTTTTAATTTTTTTTCCTCTGTATTTTCTTGTTTCGTTATGGATTTTTAGAGGAATTAGGCAAATGCTGCTGTTTGTTTTGTTTTTTTTTCCTCTTAATTTTTGGTAATAATCTGAGAAACATATATGGTAGAGGAGAGAAATTAGAAAGCTTGGTTCATTATTATATTAAAAGTTGGAATTTTACAATTTCCCAATTTTTTATACCAACAACAACAACAACAACAAAGCCTTTTCCCACTAAGTGGGGTCGGCTATATGAATCCTAGAACGCCATTGCGCTCGGTTTTGTGTCATGTCCTCCGTTAGATCCAAGTACTCTAAGTCTTTTCTTAGAGTCTCTTCCAAAGTTTTCCTAGGTCTTCCTCTACCCCTTTGGCCCTGAACCTCTGTCCCGTAGTCACATCTTCGAACCGGAGCGTCAGTCGGCCTTCTTTGCACATGTCCAAATCATCGGAGCCGATTTTCTCTCATCTTTCCTACAATTTCGGCTACTCCTACTTTACCTCGGATATCCTCATTCCCAATCTTATCCTTTCTCGTGTGCCCACACATCCCACGAAGCATCCTCATCTCCGCTACACCCATTTTTGTGTACGTGTTGATGCTTCACCGCCCAACATTCTGTGCCATACAACATCGCTGGCCTTATTGCCGTCCTATAAAATTTTCCCTTGAGCTTCAGTGGCCTACGACGGTCACACAACACGCCGGATGCACTCTTACACTTCATCCATCCAGCTCGTATTCTATGGTTGAGATCTCCATCTAATTCTCCGTTCTCTTGCAAGATAGATCCTAGGTAGCGAAAACGGTCGCTTTTTGTGATCTTCGCTAGATTGCTCCGGTCATTAGTGTGGATAAGTATATAAATGGATAGAGATAGGAAAGCAAACACAAGATGTACGTGGTTCACCCAGATTGGCTACGTCCACAGAATAGAAGAGTTCTCATTAATTGTGAAGGGTTTACACAAGTACATAGGTTCAAGCTCTCCTTTAGTGAGTACAAGTGAATGATTTTGTACAAATGACATTAGGAAATATTGTGGGAGAATGATCTCGTAATCACGAAACTTCTAAGTATCGGAGTGTGGTGTCGTCTTGACTTGCCTTATCTGTCTCATAGGTAGATGTGGCATCTTCTCTGAAAGTACTCTTCCTCCATCCAGGGGTGGTATCTTTAACTGGTGGAGATGCACAAGGTAATGTATCAATTTCACTTGAAGCTTACTTGTAGTCTCAGGCTTGGTCAAGCGCGATACAAACCATGCAGTAGGAGTCCCCCAAGTCGCCGAGCTAGGGGGTCTGCTGAAAGAGGTGACAGACAAGGTAAGCAATCAGAGCTCCGACTGATTGTTCACCTTCTCCCATCTTGCAGCAGCATGAAGGATAAAGAGAAGAAAAATGAGAAGAGAGATGATATGAGATACTTTTGCTTTTGAAGAAGTAACTTTCCACAGGCTTATTCTTGAACTGAGCTGGAAGGTTTTCTGGTTTCCTCCAGAGTATAAGGCCGACTGAAGAATTTGAGGGTCAAAACAAGTCCATCAAATCTAGAGTACGTTCCACCCTACTGATATGGGATACTTTTGCTTTTGACAGAGTAATGGGGTGTATCGGCACGTGTGCTGTTACGCTTGTCTCCACATGCTTCCTTGTATCCTTCGCACTTGCCCTATCTGTTCCTCAAGCAGATGCAGAATCTTCCCTGGAAACATAAGATGTTGAAGATGAGTACTCGAGAGCAATGCCAGGTAAGTAATCAGGTAAGGGGTTCCAGGCAGTCAGTTCCTGGCTGGAAGCTTGATTCCAAGTGCTGACTGATTGCTCTCTTTCTCCTTGTCTTGCAGGTAAAAACAAGGCCAAAGGAAAAGACAGGGAAAAAGCATGATATGAGATACTCTTGCTTTTAACCCTGATGATATGAGATATTCTTGCTCTAGTATAGCTTGTTTGCAGAGGTATTATCGGGGGGAAAGAAAGCTGAATATTTCGAAAGGCTTCGTTGGGAGTGCCCTCTCAGATATGATGAAGGGTTGAGCATTTTTGCAGGTCTGCCTGTCCGTTGGGGATGGAGGTCGACATATATAGGAGTCTCCCTAACAACAAGTAGTAATGCTATTCCTTTACCCTGCTTGGTCATAGCACGGTAGTGGGAGCTGCCAGTTGCAATGGTACTGTTCCTTTACCCTCTCTTCGCTTTTGAGAAAGTAGTCATGTTGGGAGTCTGGCTCTCGAGATTCGGAGGACGGTGCCTCTTCGATTTTGGAGCAAGCAATCTTGTTGGGAGTGTTTTCTCGAAAGTGAGTAAAGGTTGGGCATGTTTGCTAGTCTACCTTGCCACGAAGCACAGAGGTTGACACACAAGGACTTTCCAATTATCCAGCAGTGGTACTGTTCCTTTACCCTTGTGGGTAATAATATGGTAGCTAGACCTTCAACATTTATGTGTCTAAACTTTGTTAGTGCTGTTTCTTTGCTATTCTTTTACCTTTCTTGGTCAGAGCGATGTAGTGGGAGCTGCAAGCTTCACGTGCTCAACTTTGGCAGAGAACTTTGGCAAAGTTATCTGTGGTACCCATGAGCTATTGTTGCGTGTGGGAAGTGGGTGATTGAACAGTAAGATTCATGTGCTTTCTACTTCACCAGAAGTCTTCGACAGAATGCCCATAATTTCTGCAAAGCTGAGTGTGCGTGTGACAGGTGCTGACAAGGCTAGAAAAGTAGGTGCCTCTTCGATTTCTGAGATCGGCCCTCGTGGTCTCTGAGCAGCCCAGCTTTTGAGAAAGCGAGCGCCTCTTCGATTGATTCGGAGAACGATGCCTCATCGATTTTTGAGAAAGCAATCATGCTGGGGGTCTGGCTCTCGAAGATTCGGGGAGCAGTGTCTCTTCGATTTTTGAGAAAGTAATCACGTTGGGAGTCTGGCTCTCGGGATTCGAAGGGCGGTGCCTCTTCGATTTTGGAGCAAGCAATCTTGTTGGGAGTGTTTTCTCGAATGTGAGTAAAGGTTGGGCATGTTTGCTAGTCTACCTTGCCACGAAGCACAAAGGTTGACACACAGAGACTTTCCAATTATCCAGCAATGGTACTGTTCCTTTACCCTCTCTTCGATTTTTAAGAAAGTAGTCATGTTGGGAGTCTGGCTCTCGAGATTCGGAGGACGGTGCCTCTTCGATTTTGGAGCAAGCAATCTTATTGGGAGTGTTTTCTCGAATGTGAGTAAAGGTTGGGCATGTTTGCTAGTCTACCTTGCCACGAAGCACAGAGGTTGACACACAGGGACTTTCCAATTATCCAGCAGTGGTACTGTTCCTTTACCCTTGTGGGTAATAATATGGTAGCTAGACCTTCAAAATTTATGGGTCTAAACTTTGTTAGTGCTGTTTCTTTGCTATTCTTTTACCCTTCTTGGTCAGAGCGATGTAGTGGGAGCTGCAAGCTTCACGTGCTCAACTTTGGCAAAGTTATCTGTGGTACCCATGAGCTATTGTTGCGTGTGGGAAGTGGGTGATTGAACAGTAAGATTCATGTGTTTTCTACTTCCCCAGAAGTCTTCGACAGAATGCCCATAATTTCTGCAAAGCTGAGTGTGCGTGTGACGGGTGCTGACAAGGCTGGAAAAGTAGGTGCCTCTTCGATTTCTGAGATCGGCCCTCGTGGTCTCTGGGGAGCCCAGCTTTTGAGAAAGCGAGCGCCTCTTCGATTTCTGAGATCGGCCTTCGTGGTCTTTGAGCAGCCCAACTTTTGAGAAAGCAAACGCCTCTTCGATTTCTGAGATCAACCCTCGTGATCTCTAAGCAGCCCAGCTTTTTGAGAAAGCAAACGCCCTCTTCGATTTCTGAGCAGGCGCCTCTTCGATTTCTGAAGCTCCGTCGAGTGCAGATTTTTATAGAGGCTGACATTAAGTTCCAAAGCACACTTGAATCTCCACCAGTAGAAGCTTCATTCTTGCACTTCTAAGATCTTGATTTGTCCGACCTCTTCTCTCTTCAACACCTTTGAAAATGTCTGGCCCCTCCGACCGTCGTTTTGACTTGAACCTTGTTGAAGAGGCAGCCCCGCCTTCTCCAGACAACATATGGCGCCCATCCTTCGTCTCCCCTACTGGTCCTCTTACCGTTGGGGATTCCGTGTGATGAAGAATGATATGACCGCTGCGGTGGTGGCCAGGAACCTTCTCACTCCCAAAGATAACAGACTACTTTCCAAACGGTCTGATGAGTTAGCTGTTAAGGATTCGCTGGCTCTCAGTGTTCAGTGTGCAGGTTCTGTGTCTAATATGGCCCAACGCCTATTTGCTCGAACCCGCCAAGTTGAATCCTTGGCGGCTGAAGTGATGAGTCTCAAACAGGAGATTAGAGGGCTCAAGCATGAGAATAAACAGTTGCACCGGCTCGCACATGACTATGCTACAAACATGAAGAGGAAGCTTGACCAGATGAAGGAAACTGATGGTCAGGTTTTACTTGATCATCAGAGATTTGTGGGTTTGTTCCAAAGGCATTTATTGCCTTCGTCTTCTGGGGCTGTACCGCGTAATGAAGCTCCGAATGATCAACCTCTGATGCCTCCTCCTTCTAGGGTTTTTGTCCAGTACTGAGGCTCCAAATGATCCCCTCCGGTGCCTTCTCTTTCTGGGGCTCTACCGACTGCTGAGACTTCTCCTAAGCAACCTTTGTGAAGGCTCCGTCTTGTGTGTTTATTTTGACTCATGTATATGTACATATTTGTAGCTGATCGGGGATATCAATAAATAAGCTTTCCTTCATTTCAACGTATTGTGTTAAATACACCAAAGCCTTCTTCGCTAAGTTCTTTGAATTTTCTTTTGTTGAAGCTTGTATGTTGAAGCTTTCTGAGTGGAGCATGTAGGTTGGGGTAGTGTTCCCTTAATTTCCCGAGTGAGGAAAACTTCTCGGTTGGAGACTTGGAAAATCCAAGTCACTGAGTGGGATCGGCTATATGAATCTTAGAACGCCATTGTGCTCGATCCTGTGTCATGTCCTTCGTTAGATCCAAGTACTCTAAGTCTTTTCTTAGAGTCTCTTCCAAAGTTTTCCTAGGTATTTCTTTCTCGAGCTTTTGTATTACATCAGAATTTTGTGTTTTTCAATGGTGAAACCCCAATCAATTGAAGTTCTTCGGTTTTATGATTTTGCACCTATTGAAACATGGCATTGTGTAATGCAGATATGTTCATGGGGTTTGAAGAAATTGATGGGGATGATGATATAAGGGAGGAATTTCCATGCCCGTTCTGCTCCGAATACTTTGACATTGTCGGATTGTGCTGCCACATTGATGAAGAGCACCCAGTGGAGGCAAAAAATGGGGTATGAATCCTTTTCCATATCTATCAATACCAAATTACTCTAACTTTCATCATTGTTTGGTGCATATAACTTGAAATTAGTGTGCCACTTGATGCTTAAATTTTAACTTTTCTTGAGAGTCTATTGCATGCTTTGTTTTATAAAGAAGTATCCAAGCATCACTTTAGTAGGCGAAAACTGCCACGACAACCTTTGGCCAGAAAATGATTGGATTCAAAGCCAATTGGTTTCTGAATATTAAGGGAATTTTGTTGGTCCCAGTTTCTTATAAAGTTGGATTTTGCCCTTGAATAATTGATTTCAGTGCTTTCTTATTGATATACAAGGTTTTGATGTGGTGGGAAAAGTGGAAATTAGGTAGCTGGTCAAGTTATGTAAACTTGCTAAGATATTCCATTTGTTGGATGCTACCTTTTTCTTATTTTAATGAGAATGGGTTTACTTGGAGCTCAATCTTACTAAACAGGAATGTTGTTTTCTGCAGGTATGTCCGGTTTGTGCAATGAGGGTGGGGGTTGATATGGTTGCGCACATTACCCTACAACATGGAAGTATATTCAAGATATCCTTTTCTTTGCAGTTGACATCTGTTGCAGATGTTATGTGTTATCTTTTTCTGTCGTAATCAACTTTGTCGTTAAATGCAAATTTATTAGCATTCCACATGACATCTGTTTTTAAATAACTTTTCTAAGGATTATATATGCATACGGTATTGTTTGAGTTCTTAATGGTTTAAACTAGTAATTTATAATTTCTTGCATGAAAACATGCTCCATTATTCCCACAATTCTGATTGAACATTACGAGGTCTCTCGTAGGGCATTTTTCTTTTGGTTTCATCATACTGCTGAGATTTATCATACATTTTATCAAAGATTGATCAGATTGAAGATTTCTCCAAATGCTTGAATTCCTTAACTAGTAATTACATGCAACGCAAGAGGAAGACAAGGAAAAGTGGAGCTCATTCAACTCTATCTTTGTTGAGGAAAGAGCTGCGGGAAGGAAATTTGCAGTCTCTTTTTGGGAACTCTTCCTGTTTACTTTCCTCCTCCAATGCAGCGCCTGATCCATTGTTGTCACAATTTATTTTGCCTATGGCAGATGATTTTGTTAGCATGCCACCCTTCTCAACTGAAACAAGCTCAGCCAAGAAAAGTTCAGTTGAGAAAGTATCAGAACGGTACGTTAATTAATCTTAAAATTCCTTTTGATGGGCACGTAAAACCTATCTTCCTATCTTGCTATAGTTCTGATCCTGTAACCCTTGGTCAAGCTGAATGCCTAAACGGTCATGATTTCTTGCCAAATCTCCTTTTATGCATAAGAAGTTTGGACAAGGGTTGGTCTTGTTGGTTGGACACAATTTCAATTTCATACACCATCTAGGCACGCACGATTGCATTTGCATAGATATTGTCAAAATTCTACAAAGAGCATGCTATTCTGCCTTTCTGGTTTTCCCCTCGTTATGCTTCAGCGTCGTAGGTCTAATACATTTGCTTGGCCACAGAAATGTGCAGTCGCCTCCTCTGTCCATCAAGGATAAGGAAGAGAAGACGAAAAGGTGTGCGTTTGTTCAGGGGATGTTGTTGTCCACCGTTCTTGACGACGGTTTATGAATTTCCTCATGGCGCCGCCGCTGGAGTGAACGTTTTCACAACCGAGAGCGAAGTCCGTTGCATTCTGTGGTTGGTTTGTAGCTGAGGGTATTTCCCAATGGTTATTGAGCACAAGGAGTGTGTGGAATAAGTTGTAGGAGTTTCAGTGTAATTATGTTGGCATGTGAACTTTAGTTTTATAGGCCTCAACAGAACTCTCGTCAATTGTCGTTTTCAGGTCGTTTTTTAGTTCTTTTTTAAAGGGAAAGAAAAGAAAAGAAAATAACTACTTTTCCTTCAATGCTTCTCTCTCAAAACCCCTTTAAGCATTTTGTACGGATCTTTGTTCTTCCACAGCAAATCTGAGTTAGGTCAGTCGGTCAAGGTAGTCGCTGCTTGTACCGAATTCATATTTCTCTTTCCGTAGAGTAATTTGAAATATCGCATTATCGTTTTTGTTCAATTAATTGACCAATGCATCGACGAACAGTGAGAGAAAATGGTGAGAAAAGTAGGAGATCCAACGTACCTAACATGGACCACAGTTAATGGCAGGATCATAATTTGGCTGTTTGTTTTGGTGAGGTGCAGTCAATATCCACCCACTTACCAACCAGAAAACAAATGGCCCCTTAAATATTTATAATTGGGAAGGGGTCATGGGAGGGTGTGAACATAATTGAAGGATATGTGACATATGGAGCCGGTTCCTTTGTATTCATACAGTTGTTGAAGAAAAGGACCCGTTGGATATATGTGAAGTGCGGTGTTATCAACACATTTCTCTTAATTTTCGGTGGTTAGATCAAATAAATTGAAGAATATTCAAATGACATAAATTAGCCATTTAGTATTACAGTCTAGTGGTATTCTTCTTCCCTTGTAAGTGAGAGGTCTTAGGTTCGATTCTCGCCAAAAACGAATTTGAACCGCATTATTGCTAGCTCATTGTGAGACTAAGCCCACATTTCCCTTTAGTGGAGATAATATCGTTTGTTAAAAAATAAATGACATAAATTAAAACAGGGTTTGTTAAAAAATAAATGACATAAATTAAAACAGGGTGTGAAGAAGGTAAAAATAAATGTTTGGATATCACTAATCTATGTAAATAGCATGAGAGAGCCATGTTTGTCGCTTTTGCAAATTATAATTTAACACATGTTTATTCACAATTACAAAAAAGATGTTTTTGCACACATCAAACTGTAATCATTTTCTTGCATGCAAAGAGCCAAGCATCTTTCATAATTGGAAATATAACTTTACCCCCAAAGAAGAGGTTTACATGTAACGAGCCAAGTATTTTCAGCGGTCTCAAATTGCGAAAAGATTAGTGGGATTGACATGTCAATTTGTACTAGAAAGGTGAAGTAGTGGACGGCTGAGTGGGATGACAAACAAAGGGCAAACACAAAAGGCTAAAAATGGCTGGTTGGTGGTGACCGAAAAAAAACTGCTTCTGTTGTATTGTGAAAATAAGTTCGGTTTTACTGATTCATGTTTTTAGCTTTTTTTTATCCAAAACTGTGAAAATAAGTTGTTTTTAAGTGTTTACCAAACACCTTTTTGAGTTCAGTTTTTTTTTATACCCACTTTTTATAAAAACACCTTAGTACCAATCCAGTACTGAGAGTGGTTAATTCTAATTCACCCAATGTAACTTTATAATTACCCCAAACATCATTCTTCCCAAACAGTAAATGCATAAATAACTTCCAGTAAAAAGAAAGAAAATAAAGACTTTTTAGCTAAAATAGTTTGTTATAACTTCTCACTTTGATCATTGAGATTTAAAATCAATAAAAATAATCCCTGAGATTGTACAGCTCGTCAATCATTTTGGCCATTCTATGAATAATCTCCATTAGATAGAAGAAATCCAGTTCAAGTGGAGAGTTAATTAACAAAAATAATCTCAATTTAATGGAAATTCCTCAGTGAAACACAAATGATTGACAGTTGACAATCTCAGTATTCACTTCTATCGACTTTAAATCTGGACCAAAGTTATGCCAATACTATTTTGGCTAAAAAGCCTAAAAAAAGTTGGACAAAGAAACAACCGTCAAGAAAACATCTAAAAATAGCAGAGTCGGCTAGGAATAATCGCAGCCAATGAGCAAAAATGGAAAGTGATAAATACGTAGCAATTTAATATATCTGGATCAGCCTAAATCTAAAAAATTAATGTAAAAATGGGATTAAATAAGAATAATGGAGTCTTGAGTGACTTCAGTGCTAGTTTAATCTATGAACTAGCTAAAAAATTATGGTCTAAAATTCCTAACAAAACAGGATCGACGGGGAGGGGAAAGAGCAAAAGGACGCGTGTTGCGTCGAGGATCCTCGATACCTAGAGAGCTAAACTCAACCAATGTTGGAGTTTGGTATCGAGGATCCTCTTTACGACTTCCCCTACAAAAGATTCGAAACAACATGAACAGCAACCTCTCATCAGACTTGTCATTCCACACGCTGTTAATTCAATGTGGGAGCAGGTTGATGGGGGAGGAACCACAACTACCTCGTTGCTTCTGTGCTGGTGTCCGCACGCAGCCAAGACAGTGTGTGTCGATCTCCTTGCAATGTCATTGAAAGTATCTTTGTCTGAAACACGGGGATACAAAGAGTTAGATCATTTCGACTGGCAGTGTAGATCATAGGCGCTAGGCTGCCTGACATGAGAATGATAATTCGTAATGACAAGCGGACGGATTCAGATCAAAGGTATTTTCACATTTCAGCGTAGAAATGCCGAGTCTGAATCAATCCAAAATGAACTAGGAGATGTTTACATACAAGCATACAAATAAGTTGAAAGCTTCGCATACCTAGATCAACATCTCGGGACAAATTATCCAAGCGGTTTTTCACCATCGCTTTCAGTTTTTCCTTTGCTAGGTGAAAGCCACTCTGTTCTACAGCTGTATTAGGGGACACACCAGCATCAGATCCACTAATGTTTGGTCTACTGCTTAAGTGATGGAATTGTCCGTAATTTGGTACTGAGTTCATCCCGGTAAGTTCAGGCCATAATGCTCCATTTAGAGATCTATTAGCAGATGTAGTAGGTGGATCCTCGATTGCTTGCCTTCTCTGAGGGGTTGATGCTGATGAATTTAAGAAATCAGTACTCAAATTATCTGGCACTAGTGCTAAATGATTATCTTGTAATCTCTCCTCAAAGAATGTATGATAAGCTGCCTCCATCTCGTCTGTCCTGGTATGTTGGACTGTCATTTCCCTCGCCCGAGCAGCTTGAGAGTTTGAGAAATCATTACTCAAATTATTGGATGAGTTCCTCTCATTCATACTGGCCATATAAGTCGTCCTGTTAAGATTAAGGAGTTGTTGAATATGACGCTGTATTAAGCGTCTCCCTGATAGAGTCGGTGCTGCAGCCCCAGACAACGGGGAAGGTGCTTGAAAACCTCCAACAGGAATTCTTGGGGAAAATCCTTGAGTGAATTGTGGACAAGGTGAGGACACCACATTAAGGTCTATCCCTTCGTCAAAATATACAGCAGGTGATGGTCTATTAGACAGAATGTTGTTTGTATTTCTTTGATCAGACGACCGACCCTGAGCCTGTGAACTTGATGATCCCATAGCTACAGGTCTACAACCCTCACAGTACCAATTACCATCAGGTACTTCTCGCCCAAGACCAACACAAAAGGTGTGAGCAGGTGAATCGCATATATCACACAGTAGCATGAGGCCATCTTCCCCTCCTTCGTGGCATTCTGTACAGATCACATTCTCGTAAGGGTCAAGATAACCCCTGAGTTCTTCTTCCGTCGGTTGATAGACCTGCATAAAGAAATAAACCCATTTTGAACAAACAAACAGAATATTGAAGAAGAAGCAAACGGAATGCAAGAAAAAGCATGACATAACAAATAAACGATAAGGTACCTGATCACGCTCAGGGACCTGTATCACCACTTCTCTCAAATCAATTCCTGTCGTAGATCTTGCAGGCTTACTGATTGTCTTAAACCTTTGCTTGCACAAAGGGCAACGAGATTCCACTTTTCCCCATTCCATGATGCATGCAAAACAAAAATAATGAGTGCAACAGTCTAATGTTCCCCTCACTCTTCTTTTATCTTCCTCGGAAAAACAAATTCCACAGACCTGCTTTACAACCTCAACCTTCACTTGCTCAATCTTCTCTTTGCCCTTCCTTCTAGGAGGCTTTCTTGGCTGCTGTACAAGCGTATCCTCCTGAAGGCTAGTAGGCACTGATGAACTTTGCAAATTAGTTTCCAATCTTTCACACAACTCCTTGGCTTCTCGTACTTGCTCTCTCTCTTCCTCGGAGATGGTGTAGTCAAAATCAGATGCTCCAGAAGGCACAAAATCTGAATCTGACGGTACGGACATTCTCCTCCTTTTCCTAACCCTTTTTTTCTCATTCGTTACTCTCAAGGGCACAATACTATCAATAAAATCACTATCACTTTCAAGTTCATCATCCCTTCTTGCCTTCCTCCCCAACTCCTGACTCGTTCTACCTTTCTTTCTCAAAGGCTTCTTTAAAGCCATAGATTTTCTCCTTTTTTCACCTCTTACAGAACGACCCTTTTTCTTCAACTGCCGCTTGCCCAGTTTCTTCTTTTTCACCACATGTTTTTCTTCCACCTCTGAAAATTCATCTTCATCTGGTGTAAATTCCTCATCGTCATCATCATCTTCATCATTATAATCCTGATCCTCCACCTCACGATATGCAATCATTCTCCTCTTTCGTAACGGTTTAACCCCATTTTTCTGCCGACCAGAAAAACCATTTCGGACTTTTGACCTGATTCCCTTCCTAACCGGCTTCACTTCCTCCTTGTCTTCCTCCTCCTCCTCCTCCTCCTCCTCCTCCTCCACAATAAAACCAGCAGAACCCCTTTTCGCTCTTGATCTACTGTTCTTCCTCACCTTTTTCACTTCCTCCTCCTCTTCCTCCTCTTCCTCCTCGTCCACAAAACTCCCAAAGCTCTCTTCTGACTCATCTCCATCCAAAGAAGAACAGTAATCCTCCTCTAAATCCTCAGAAACTTCATTTTCTTCCCCCGAAATCACATAATCCTCATCCGAATCATCGGAACCCTGATCCTTTGACGGAATCCTCGTCTTGATTTTTCGCTTGGAACTAACCTTCCCTCCCTTTACCATCTGTTCCTCGCACCCAAAAATCCACATATTAAACCAAATTTCAGATTCCCAAAACCAGCTAAAACAAATCAAATTACAATCTTTCCTCAATCTTTTTTCTATTTCCTAACACCGATCTGCTGTTTTCTGCATTAAAATTTAAAATTTAAAATTTAAAAAAAAAATCCTAGATTTGCTTTCCTACAAATTCTTTCCAGTTACACCAAATTCCTT